AGAGACCTGGTTCCACTCCAGGTCCCACCCCGAGCCGGGCCCAATCCACCACAGGTGCTCCAAAACATTCACTTCAGAACGGTGGTCAGAGGCATTCGGATACTAACGCTAAGCGTAAGCCACGCCAAATTTTATTTAATTTTAAGATTTTATTTATTTATTTATCTTAGAGAGAGACGGCGACAGTGAGAGCACCAGCAAGGTGAGGGGCAGAGGGAGAAGCAGACTCCCCCGCCAAGCAAGGAGTGGGATTTGGGACTCCATCGGTCATGACCTGAGCCGAAGGCTGACATTTAACTAACTGAGCCACCCTGGGTGCCTCAAGGCAAGCCAAATTTTAGCACAGAAACATACGGGAAGAGAAAAATCATTCACCTTGCAGATCAAACCTTTCATAGAAGGACCACCTGAGGGGAGCCTTTTAAGCCCCTTGGATATTAACAACCTGAGTTCCTGACGGGGAATAGGACAAGAAGCCATCGGGAAAGATCGGGAAAGGATGCAGAAAAACCAGGATCACTTTGGAAACCCAGCTGGGTACGCAGCTTTTTGGTACAGGTAGTACCAAAGGAATCCCCAGCTTTGAGACTGAACGTATGGGTCTCGTGTCGAGATATACAAATGTGTGCAAATAGAGTAGACACACAAACCCACCCCCTCCCACCTTTGTAAACAGTGTCAAAGCTCCAAAGTCCTTCACGGTCAACTGTATTTTTTTTTTTTTTTAAAGATTTTATTTATTTATTTGACAGAGAGAGATCACAAGTAGACAGAGAGGCAGGCAGAGAGAGAGAGGGAAGCAGGCTCCCTGCTGAGCAGAGAGCCCGATGCGGGACTCGATCCCAGGACCCTGAGATCATGACCTGAGCCGAAGGCAGCGGCTTAACCCACTGAGCCACCCAGGCGCCCCGGTCAACTGTATTTATTCACTCATCTGCCAAATATTTGTTGAGCACCTACCCTGGGCCAGACCCTGGTCTGGGAACGGAACTGTATTGGTGACCAAGAGCGAGAAAGTCCTTGCTTTCATTGATGATCTACACAAAAACCAAGAGTTAAAGAAAAAATACCCACACGGTAGTGGGTGTACCAAGGGTGTGGTTTTTCCACACCAACAACCAATTCCCCAACACCAACTGGATGTTCAACAATTCAATTCAATTCTGACACCAACTCTTGGGGTTTGTGTAGATCCCACAGGATCAAGGCTCAGTCCCACAAGACTGCCCCCACCTCAGACCACAGCTGCCCATCCCAAGGGCCGCCTGTACCTCCAGAGTACTGGCTATAAATTCAGGGGTTCCCACAGCACCCCCCCATCCTGGGTTCAACAATTTGCTGGAATGACACACAGAACTCACTTTACTTAGTTTATCGGGTGATTATAAAGGACACAACTTGGGGGCAGCCAATGGGAAGGCACGTGGAGGACAGGGTGTTGAGGAGGGAGAGGCTGGAAGCAACATGGAAATTTCCAAGCCGCCCTCCCAGCACCTCCATGTTCACCAGCTCTCCCCAAACCCTGCTATTGAGGGACTTTTCCCAAGGTTTCACTACATAGGCAACATTGATTAAATCCCTGGCCCCTGGTGATTAACTCAAAATGCAGCCCCCTCTCCCCTCCCTGGAGGCTAGGTAGGGAGGATGTATCGGGAGAACAGAGAATTCCAACCTCTCTCATTAAGGCTTGGTCTTTCAAGCAAGCAGGCCCCATCCTTAAGCTATCTAAGGCCCCCCACTCCCCGCTACTGATAATAAAGAATATGGTCTTGGGGCACCTGGGCGGCTCAGTGGGTTAAGCCTCTGCCTTCCGCTCAGGTCATGGTCTCAGGGTCCTGGGATTGAGCCCTGCATTGGGCTCTCTGCTCAGCAGGGAGCCTGCTTCCCTTCCTCTCTCTCTCTGCCTACTTGTGATCTCTGTCTGTCAAATAAATAAATAAAATCTTTAAAAAAAATGGTTATGGTCTTATCACTCAGGAACTTCCAAGGGTTTTTAGGAGGTCTGTGCCAGGAACTGGGGACAAAGACCAAATACCCGTGTTTTGTATTATACCACAAGGGGCCAAAACTTGGAGCTAAGAAAGCAGGTCCTGCAGCTTCCAACCCAGACTGCGCCGACTTCCCCAGTGTGGTGAGATGAAAAGATAAAAAGCAGCTGGACAGGTAGGGCCAGGGAGGCCTGGGAACAGCGGGGGCAGGAAGAGAGGGAGAGAAACTTCAAAGTTCCAAAAAGCTAGAAATTCATTAGAAGTGATTGTGAGTATGCCGTCCAGGTTTTCCTGCTCATTCCTCTGGTGGAGACTCCCTCCCCATAAGCCCCCCAAGCCCAGCCTGGATGCTTCAAGGTCAGAGGCCTCCTAGAGGATTTCCTTTGGTTTTTGCTTCCCACTGGACCCCAGTGCTTAGATCATGCTGGGCACACAACCACAGGGTTGGATAACAAAGCAACAGGGTTGGATAACAAAGCAAACCAACAAGTCCCTACAACCTAAACCCTCACACACCCGCCCACAAGAACCTCAACAGCAGACTGTCCAGAATCTGAAATTCCAACATTAAACGTCACTTGGGGGAATTAAGAAACTCTGTCATAGGGCACCAAGAAACCAGTCATAATCTCAAGTTACAACTTGAGATAAGTAACATAATTTCAAGTTACAACTAGGAGCTTCACAGTTTGCCAAGAGATTTCCTTTATAGCCTGCGATTTACAGACAAGGGAAGGGAAGTTCAGAGAGGTCAAGTGACATCTCCCGGTCACATCTGCAGGGTCTGAGCCCGGGCCTCTGGACTCCAGCCCGGGCCTCTGGCTGTAGTGTCTGCTGACGCACAGGGAACCGGGTACACATGTTCCGGGGACCGCTCTGGAGTGCAGGTGGACAGAGGAAGAGCCCGGCGAGGGTCAGCAGTTGACACTCCCAGAGCTGTGCCCCCACCACCCCACCACCCCCGCAGAAGGGGTTGGTGGTAGAAGGCAGAACGGGTCACACCACCGGAGGGAGCCAGTGCAGGAGAGGAAAGCAGGGAGCTCAGCCTGGGGACCCTGAGAGCTGAGAGCCCGCCAGGCGCTGCCTTCCGGTTTCCCATGTTCCAGCCCATTCCAGAGGAGGAGAAAGGGGCTGGGCCGCCCACTAGAAACCTAGGCGTGCAGCTCCAGAGGCCAGGCCTACAGGCAGACACAGGTGAGACAGGTGAGCTGGGTCGGGGGACAGGGGAGGGAGTGGGAGGCCCCTGAGGGCTGGACCACCTTAGTCATGACCTTCCCTGCGTTCCTAATGACTCTGAGCTTGGCTTTCTTTGATTTCATTTCAACCCCTATTTAGAGACGCTGCCCATGGGCCAGGCTCTGGCTAAGTGTTAGTTTAACTTGACAGAGGCCCCTGCCAGGGGAACTCCAGGGGAGGGGGGCTTGGGATTTTAAAGAGGGCAGTCAGGTGGGCCTCACTGAGGAGGTGACATTGAGCAAAGACTTGAAGGAGGTAATGAGGGAGCCAAGAGGACACCTGGGGAAAGAGTGTTCCAGAAGAAGAGTTCGAGGCAGAGGATACAACTTGGCAGAGGTGGGGTGTAGGGGAGGCCTGCAAGGTGGCAGCAACAGTAGGGGAGTGGAGCAGGAAAATAGAAGGCCAGCTCAGCGGCCTTGCAGGGATCCAGGGGACAGATGAGAGGGGATCCTTGAACATGCCAGACCTCTTGTCAGCACCCCCATGGCCCTGACACCCCCTCGGGGGTATCGGTTTGGAAGCCTGCATACAAACCTGACTTGCCGCTTGTGGCTACACGACCTCACAGAGTGTCCTTCATTCCCATCCTGACCTCCCTGTAAAACAGGCTAGTAACAGTAGTGTATCTATAGGGCTGCGTTGGATGCCTGCGGGAAAGACAGACCACGTGCCTCTGGACAGCTAGGTGTGGGATCCAAGGAAGTGCCGACCACCCAGGTACTTGGGAGGGGAACATTCGGGCAAAAAAGGCATTGTTTCTATTGCCTACTCTAACAGCACCCAGTGGGGCAGCAAAGGGACACTCGGTTCCGGCGGGGTGGGGAGCGGCAGGGTAGGGTGCTACAGTCAGGAAGGCTCCTTGGAGGAGAGGTCCCTGGAGGTTGGGTCTCACTAGGAACAATGGGGGAAAGCGCCAGAGGCAAAAGGGAGCAGGAGCAGGAGGGGAGCTCCCAGGGTGCTGGAGTAGCTGATCCAGGGCTAGGGGCAGGTTGGGGGGAGGTGGTGGAAGCCTGGGAGCATAGACTCTCTCCCGCGCACCTGGGAGCATAGACTCTCTCCCGCACACCAAGGGGCAAATTCCAAGTCGGGGGTGGCGGGGAGACACAATGTGACTGCAGCTGAAGAGCTCCACCTGGCAGCCTGGAGAACTGACAAGGGAGAGGCAGAGGTTAGGTGAGAGATGGTGGGGGCGGGGTGGGGGACAGACATGGGGATGGAATAAATGCATTTGAGATACTCAAGAAGCAGGCTGGAGCCTACCTGATGGTTGCCTTGCTGTGGGGGAACAGGGGCTTCTGAGTGTCAGGGGGTTTGCCAAAGGACGCAGGTCCATCCTGACTGCGGGGGACACACAGGGGTCCCGGGGGGAACCCTGCCCAGGCCCGAAGCAAGCTTCCTCCTCCCAGCTCTGTGGTACCCCTCAAGGCTCACAGAAATGGACTGAGGGAGCCCAGGACTCAGGGGACCAGGTGAATGGGACCGCAGGTCCCTCCAGCGAGGCCCCCTGGCTCTGTGGTCAGACCCTGTCCAACTCCTGGCTGCCTCAAGCTGTGCAGCTAGAAGCCACACAGATGCTCAGTGTCACCAAATATCTGTGCATGAGTGACTTGAACTACTGTGCGAGAATTCCCCCAGGTAACCCATGCAGTACAGGTTGCAGTGGATGGAGCTCCGGCCCTGTGACTGGATCCTGTCCAGATCTCGACAAAGGGTCCTGCTCTACCATTTACAGAGCGATTACTGCATGCCTGGCCCGGGAAAGGGGCGCCAGGGAAAGGGGTGGGGGTGCGGGGCATTTGCATATTTCAGGGCAGTTGCTTTCCTACCGGGAGGGGCCCCTGGCTGATGTTCAGCTCTGGGCACTTCCTCCTCCTGCACAGAGGTTCTTAGTACCCCCGGGGCTCAGAGCAGTAGGCCAGAAGTATCTCTCCTGAGGCACCAGGCAGCTCCAGGCTAGGATGGACAGCCCAGTGCACCGAGTGTCCCTGAGGGATAACTGGAGCAGGCGAGTGCACCCTGACATAGCGAGTGAGAGGTTCATACAGTCCTTCAGCGTGGAACAACTCACCAACATCCTGGATGGAGGTGCCCAGAACACTGCACTCCGGAGGAAAGTTGGTAAGAGGGAGCTGGGGAGTGGAGCCCCTGGTTTGTGCCCATATGCCTTTCTTGGAAGAAGAGTCCTCCACTAGCTGTCCCACCTTCAAATGACCAATTTTGCTCTCAAAATTCCACTGTTAGAGATTCATTCCTTTGGCCTGGCCTCTCTAACAAGTCTATATTCCCTGAGCCCAATTGAAGGATGGAAGAGTCTTAGGCAGCAGAAGACCGGGATGCTGGTCCTTAATCTGCCACTGCCTAGCTTTGTAACCTCGAGCAAGTCACCTTCCCACCTCTGGTGCTCAGTCATTACATCAGTAAAATGACAATGTCTGACTTCCTTTCCATGTCCACAAGGCAAGAGGGTGGAAAGATCTGAAGGTGCCAGGAACCTCACCCTGGTCTCTAAGCCCTCTGTTCTCTGTCTCTGGAAGAGAGCATCATCCACAGTGACCCAGAGTTTAGCGTGAAGGATAATTATTTCATGACCCAGAATGAACGTTATATGGCCGCCGTCCAGAAGAAATTTCACCTCCAGATAATAGCAAAGCGCCTCGGCTGGTCGGAAAACAGTCCTGAATTATATTACGCTTACAGGTACTCACTCCCAGGGCAGCCCCACCAGAGAGGAGGTCACCTGGGTTCACCTGGAAAACCTTAGCACCATTAGCAGTTTTCCCCACCTTTAGAGGCCATGGCTGTTGGGAGGCCAGGATGACAGGCGCCCGTTCCCTCCTGCACCCCGCCAGGCTGACGGTACCAGGGTCCCTGTCTCCGGTGGGCTACTCCAGCACCGTGTCCTTTCCCCCACAGAGCCCTTTCTGGAGACCTGGCATTAGGCCTACACACCGTGTTCCTGAAATCCCTCCAGAGCCTGGGCTCGGAGGAGCAGATTGCCAAATGGACCCTGCTCTGCAATAAGTTCCAGATCATTGCATCATATGCCCAGACAGAACTGGGACACGGTGAGCCTGCGTTTCTGCATGCACGGTTCCAGAAAGCCCACTCACAGCTGAGTAGTCAGAGATTGTGTATTTCCTATGGAAACATTCCAGCAGGTGGCAGTCAAGGGTCTGGAAGGAGGGGGTTCCCTTTCCTAGTTTATAGAAACACACCACATGAGCTAGCGTGTGTGAGGCAAGTCGTTCCTTCTGGAAATGTCAGCAGGCGTCCCTTGTCACGGGCTGGACACGTCTCCCCCACTCAGCCCACGGGTGAAAAACAAGAAATGCCTGTGAGTACAGCTGGGAGCTCCCCAACTCCAGATGAGGCTGGTGACTGGCAGTTCTGGGCCCACCAGGACGCTGCCCCCCAGGTGGGAATACTATCCTGAACCCTGACTCACAGACTCTCCTCCTTGATTCCCAGGGACGAATCTTCGGGGCCTGGAGACTGAAGCCACCTATGATGCAGCCACCCAGGAGTTTGTGGTGCACAGCCCCACGTTGACAGCCACCAAATGGTGGCCTGGGGACTGTGAGTATCCATCCGTACCCCCAGTTCTATCTGTCCCCAAGGAGAACAAAGTTGGACAGTAGAGTAGCACAGCTCTGAGGTCCACCAGACCGCAGACGGATTCCCTATTCTAGGCTGGTGAACTTGAATGAATCAATTCATGTACTTGAACTTCAGGGTCTCACCCTGTCAACAGGGGGGATGGGAAGAATTTCATCTGTGAGTGGCTGAGAGACCCCCACTTTGAAGTAGCTGAGGAAACCCACCCGACCTGTTGGGGATGAGGGCCAGGGCCTCTCCCACAGGCACCCTGCCCCCACGCAGACACACGCGTGCACACACACATTACATACACACGGCCCAGTCCCAGGCACTCTCACCTCCCAAGTTAGTGATTAAGCTTGCCAAGCCATCACCCAGTTCACAGATCGCCCCTGCTCCAGAAAGGCTCAGCCACAGTCTGGCTGCCGGCACCATACTGCCCCCTGTGGCCACCAGGTGGCGACCGCACCATGCTTCCCCCAGGCTCTGTCATTGCCCCAGAGGGAATCCCAACAAGGCCCTCTCCCCTGGATGTGACACACACCTGTGAGGGCCCGTCTGTGGCACTTCAGAACCCATTTGGTGAATGCTTCCATGGGGGAGAAAAAACAAGGAATCCCAAGAGTACGACTAAGCAGAAAGAAACAGGCCAGAGATAAGCAGAGAGGGAGAAAGCTTGAGAGAGAAGTCAAAGAAATAGGGACAGATAGGAGAGAGCAAAGAGAGAGGAGAGGGAGGGAATAGATGACCACCGTCAGAACTGCAGAAAAAAGGGGTGCCTGGGTGGCTCAGTGGGTTAAGCCTCTGCCTTCGGCTCAGGTCATGATCTCAGGGGCCTGGGATTGAGCCCCATGTTGGGCTCTCTGCTCGGTGGGGAGCCTGCTTTTCCTCTCTCCTCTGCCTGCCTCTCTGCCTACTTGTGATCTCTGTCTCTGTCAAATAAATAAAAAAAATTAAAAATTTAAAAAAAAAAAAAGGACAGCAGGAAAAAGAAACCAACCTTGGCAATCAGGCAGGCTTGACATCCCAGTGCCGCCCCTGTCCAGGCCAGTGACCTTGAGGGACCTCCCTCGCCTCTCTGAGCCTCAGTTTCCTTATCTGGGAAATGGGATTCAACATCCCCACCCTGCGAGAACCAGAAAGCACCAGCACAGGGCCCAGCACCACCTGGATTTATTATTTATTATTAATTATCTGTATTCATTATTACTACGTGGAGGATACAGTGATTCATTTATAGGTTTTTGAGGACAGAAAAAAAACAAAAATCTTGCTCATCTCACAGTGCCTTTTGCAAAACACTGCTAGATTTGTTTGGTTCTTTGGGAGCAGGTCTCCCTCTCTGGGATCAATGACTCTTTGAGGCCCCTGGGATGGGGGGTGGGGGTAGCGATACACACCTTTCCCTGTGATCCAGGACTGGTTTTCTCACCATGGATCCTAACAGACATACCCCAGCAGCTCTGGCATAAAGATCCTATCTCCCTGATTCCAAAGAAAATGACTCAAGGGCACACACTTCAGCCAGAAGACTTCAGAAGAACCAAATTCTTAAAGAAGCTGAGATTCCCCAGACCGTTTCATTTAGGCTATTTGCATTAAAATCCATAACCTTTGTGAACTTTGGCTTTGGAAGTGGGGAGCATCTGGAGGGTGTGGAGGACTCCACACCCCTCAGGATCTCCAGCAGCCTCCTGCAGCCTCCCTGCCCCGTGCCTGTGTACTGTAGGGAGGCTGCTCCACACACGTGACATTTAGACAGGAACCCCTGCTCCTCCAGCCACCAAATGAGTGTCCATAAAGTCCACCAAGCCAGTGCGTTCTAGAGCCAGACGCTCGTATTAAAGCTCTCAAGACCACTCCAGCCATTTCCAAGGATGGGTCAAGGCCATGTGAGTCAAGGGGTATCCTGAAAAAGCATGCTTTGGTACCCCAGATGCTAACTTGTCCTCTGCCTGGCCCTCCCTGCCCTGTGTGACTCCCCAGGAAGGCCCTGTACCCTTCAGGCTCTTCATGCACCCTCCCCTGAGCTCAGCATTTGAGGCTGATCAAACAGAGCCCGTCCCAGCTTCCCACAGTGCCCTGCCCTTCCCCAGGCCACCACATTGGTCCCCATGGCCCGTTACAGACAGGGCCCACACCCAGGCTCCTGATAGGGAAAGTTAGCCTCCTACACCAGAGGTCATGCTGGGCCTCTCCTCTCTCTGCCTTCAGTGGGACGGTCAGCCACCCACACCTTGGTCCAGGCCCAGCTGATCTGCTCAGGAGCCCGGCAGGGCATGCACGCCTTCATTGTGCCCATCCGAAGCCTCCGGGACCACACCCCACTGCCAGGTAAGCCCATATGGCTCCCAGGACCACTGCCATGGAGAGACCCCACCAGGTCTCCCTATCCCAAGGCCCCAGAGCTCATGGGAGAAGCTGGGGCATGTCCCCCTTGGGCAGGTATGGGTCCCTGGATAGACCTGGTGCTAACCAGCTGGGTGAACTTGAGCAACATTCAGCACCTGTCTGACCTCAGCTTGGTCACCTGCAAAACAGGTGTAATAACCCCATGTGACAGGCTGCTATGAGGCTCAGGGGAGATGGAAGGAATGGGGGGGGTACCCAGCACACAGAAAGCACTTGGCTGACAGACGTTCCCATCTCCATCTCCTTCTAGGAGTCACTGTTGGAGACATCGGGCCCAAGATGGACTATGACCACATAGACCATGGCTTCCTGCGACTGGACCACGTGCGGATCCCTAGAGAGAACATGCTGAGTCGCTTTGCACAGGTGGGAGTCTCGCATGCCTACACTGCCGGAAGAGGGGACAGTGGCCTCCTACAGAATGCTGCTGGCTCTGGGTCTTCCTCCAAAGAGCAGAGTTTGGGGCAACCCACCCCACTCTAGAGGGGCTCTGGCATCCCACAGATCTGGGTAAAGCCCCAGTTTAGGAGCTGTGTGATCTTGGGCAAGTCACTTGACCTCTCTGAGCCTCAGAGTTCTCATGGATCAATGCTCAGAGCTCCATGTGGTGGTAGAGCAGTCATAGGGCAGGGTGGCAAAGTGACGGGAGACGAGGAAGGGCTGAGGGTGACCAGCTTATCTACCTACAGCAAGGCCTGGACAACCAGTCACTGACCAGACACAAGCCAAGTGCTGGAGGAAGTTCTGGAGGTCCCCATGTTGCCAGGCATTCCCTTTAGCTGTGGATTTGGGGGAGGTCCTGGGTGTCCCAGGAGAGGAGCCATGAACCCAGGCACTTGAGGCAGGGACAGATCAGCAGAAAGCACAGGTGTGTTTCACAACCAGCGCACCTGGCTGGTGGTCAGCCACCTGCTCCCGGTGAGCAGTTTGAGGACTGTGTGCCTGGAGGGGACGGAAGCCCGTGGTCATGGGTGTAGGACAGACTCGGGGCCTTGGCTCAGACCCAGCACCTGTCTCTGGTACCCCAGGTCTTGCCAGACGGCACCTACGTCAAGCTGGGAACACTGCAGACCAACTACTTTTCCATGGTGGTGGTGCGGGTGGAGCTGCTCCTGGCCGAGATCATCCCTCTGCTGCAGAAGGCCTGTGTCATCGCCATCCGCTACTCCGTCATCCGCCGCCAATCCAGCATCCGGCCCAGGCAAGGGGCACCCACACGCTGACCATGACAGACAGGGCTAGCTCTCCATCCCACAGCGCCTGCCCCCTGATGCTGCCCCTCTGCCCGAGTGGGGTGCTGGGAATACATGTGACCTCCACAACACACGCATAACCTCTGGCTAGACCCGGCCCGTGTGGCCCTGCCTGCGGGGTCTCCATCGAGTTCTCTCTGTCCCTGGCTGATCTACCGCCAGAGATCACGGTCTGGGTTTCCGTGTGATCCTGTACCGTCAGATCTGACTCAGATCTGTCTGTCCGGGTTCAGCGCGGCTATGACTGGCTGATGGTGTCTGGGTTGTCAGCTGGTTGCCAGAAGGCGGGGGACTGTGGCTCCTGAGTTCTGTTGGGGTGTGAGTGAGCGTGTCTGGGAAAGGCCAGCTGTCACGTCGGGCGGTGTGTGGCTGAAGTGGGTTCTGTCCAGCTGTGGCTGTCCGCACCCACGTGTAGCACATCCAAATCTGGATCTACTCTGTTGCCTGTGGCTGTGTCCAGTGGGTACCCCCTCTGCCCCATGGGACTGAATAGTGGACTGTACTCTCTGTCGTTATTTGAATATTTATTTAAACAATCTTCAACCCAGCGTGGGGCTTGAACTCACAATCCTGAGATCAAGTTCCACAGGCTCTTCCCACTGAGCCCTCCAGGCACGCCAGGACTCTCTCTTTTTCACCATGTGTTATGTTCCCCCATGCTCATGCGGGCCTGTGTAAACATACGCGGTTGCCAGCAAATGAAAATACAGGACAGCCAGTTAAATTTGAATTTTAGGTAAGCAGTAAATAATTTTTTAGAATAAATATACCCCCAATGGGGACATGCAGCCAAGATGTGGCAGCGAGGAGCTGAGCATATGTTACCAGAGTGGGAAGACAGGCACAGTCCAGCTGACTAAACTCGTGGTGCTAAGGGATGGACTTTAGCCTGGCGGTTTCTTGTCCCAACTCAGCTAAGTGACCCTGGGCAAGTCCTTTGCCCACTCTGGGCCTCGGTTTTCTTACCTGGAATGTGAAGAGCGGGAGAACCTCTAGTCAATTCCAGTATTGTTTGATGCCATGGGCTTGAGGATCCAGGAGACTAAAGCAAAATGGACTGAGGGTCAGAGGCCGACAGACCTGAGGGACACACAGCTGGGCCACTTGCCGGCTGTGGGAGTTGGGGCAAGTCGTGCCACTTCTTTGTCCCTCAGTGTCCTCACCTACAACACAGGGCATGACAGGAGCACTCCTTTAGGGCACTGTGGAGAGTGAAATGTAAAAAAGCAAGCCAGGCCCATAGCCCAGGGTCCTTTTCCTCTGGCAAGCCCAAGATACTGGGACTGGCCTGGGTATCGAACTCCCCCTTGCTAAGGGAGTCTTCTCTGGAGGACAGGGGTGCTGGGGGGAAAGGTGCTGCTGCTGAAGTCCTGTCCAGAGCCCAGTTTTCTGGGTTCCACAAGTGTCCCAAGGATAGTTATAAAAGTATGTGTCTGAGGAACCTGGGTGGCTCAGTTGGTTAAGCATCTGAATCTTGGTCACGGCTCAGGTCATGATCTCAGGGTTATAGGGTTAAGCCCCGAGTTGGGCCCTGTGCTCAGGGGGGAGACTGTTTGAGATTCTCTCTTTCTCTCCCTCTGCCCCTCCCCCCACCATGATAAATAAATAAAATCTTTTTTTTTTTTTAAGTGTCCAAATGAGGAGCTGCTAACCTAAGATTCTCCCCCAACAACCATGGGAGGCTTCTCACATTCACACTTTCTTTTAATCCACAAAGAGTTATCCCCATCCCCTTCATGCTGGGCACTGTCTCAGGCACTGCAGACAGAGCAAAGGACAAGGCAGATGTAGTCCCTGCCTTGGGATTCCATCAGGCCCAAGTTCACATCCTCAGAGTTACTGATTAGACTTGATCTACCCCCCAGCACATACTATACTTGCACCTGGACAGTGAAAGGTCAAGTTTCACATCATGAAACTCGATGTGTACAAGACCGCAAGCCCTCACTTGAAGTCCTTGGGACCAAATGCATTGGAATTCAGAACTTTCCAGATTTTGGCAAGATAATATGGTGCATATGCTAAAATTCTGTACACGTCCCCTATAAAGGGCAGAACCCATAAGCAAACCTGTCAATATTTCTACAGAGAAATGTGTGGATACTCATGTTAGATGGCATTTTAAGATTATTATTAACCTCATGTCAGTTCAGGTCAAGTTTTGCAGTGAGTTATAAAAAACTATCTGTTTTTACACCTCTTATGGCTCTGGGGATATAGGAAGTTGAGGGAGCTGTAGTGATCTTCTAAACCTTCTGCTTTTCCTCCCCTCAGCGACCCAGAGGCAAAAATCCTGGACTACCAGACGCAGCAGCAGAAACTCCTCCCTCAGCTGGCCACAGCCTATGCATTCCATTTCCTGGCGAGCAACCTCTTGGAATTCCTGCACAGCTCCTACGAAGCCATTCGGAACAAAGACTTCAGCCACCTGCCAGAGGTACCTGCTCTCTGCTGGGGGGGGAGGGTGGGCAGGAGCTGGGAAGATGGCTGCAATTGTTCCTCCCGCTGGGAAGCAGCCCCACTCTTGTTCCCATGAACTCCTTTTACTTCCTCCCCCCAGCCTCCCAATATCCCAGGGCACCCAGGGCAAACTGTACCCCAACATATAAATCCACCTACATCTAGCCTCCAGAAAGCTCCAGAAATGCTAGAGGGAATAATCACACATAAAACATAGAACACAGGGACGCCTGGGTGGCTCAGTTGGTTAGGCGGCTGCCTTCGGCCCAGGTCATGATCCTGGTGTCCCAGGATCGAGTCCCACATCAGGCTCCATGCTCAGCGGGAAGCCTGCTTCTCCCTCTGCCCCTGCCTGCCACTCTGTCTGCCTGTGCTCGCGCTCTCTCTCTCAGACAAAAAAAAAAAAAAAACATAGAACACAGGAGCACAATCCCTGGTGTGAATTTGAAACCTAAAAAGCTCTGAAAAATTACCACGTCATTGAGAACATATTTGGTGGCATGGTATGACCTGAGTTGATCTGATATATCTCACTGGATATGTATACCTTTTGCAGCCAAAAATACTAATGAGTATGATCACTAAGGCTGCCCCAGACTTTTCTGGGTATTATATATAATCTACCTTCAGTGCTCTGCCTTAGCTTTCTAAAATCAAAAAAATAGCAATTCCAAAACCCATCTGGCCCCAAAGGGTCTCAGATGAAGGATTATGGACTTAGATATACACTGCGGTTCTGTCCACCAGACCATGGGCTTCATAAGCATTGGTTCATTAATCCTTCCAGTTGTGCCACTGGCCCCATTTGTAGTTCCATTTTACAGATTGGGAAAGTAAAGCACAGAGAGATGAAGGGTTATGACCTTCCTCCCAAGGACTTAGAAGCCTGAAAGATGGGTAAGGGCTTTCAAGAACCAAAAGCTCAAACAGGTCTGCTGCGTGGCTGCCCCTCCTACAACCCAGACCACTGGGGTTGATGGTGGACCTCCATGGTCCCAGGCCTGCTCTCCAAAAATTCCACTTGCCAGGAAAATCCATAACTCCTAGATGACGGTGAGCCCACTCCAGGAAGGCCCGTCTTCCCGAGATCCTGGAGATGCTGGCTCGGACAGGTTCCCTTTGTTTTTACTGCCCCTACAGCTACTTTTGCCTCATCATAGGACCTTGGGCAAGTCACATAACATCTCTGAGCCTCAGCCTCCTCCATAAAGTTGCGAGGGAAATCTTTCTTACTCCCCAGGGTTGTCACGGGCATACAGCAGGTGCTCAGTGAGTGGGAAGCATGGTTGTTCCTGGAGGGCTCCCTGACTCACCGCGATCCCCTGTTCTTGCAGCTTCACGCCCTGAGCGCAGGCATCAAGGCCATGATGTCAGACTTGTGCCTCCAGGGTTCCGAGCTGTGCCGCCAAGCCTGCGGCGGCCACGGCTACTCGAAACTGAGTGGCCTGCCCTCTCTGGTCACCAGGGTGACAGCCTCCTGCACCTATGAGGGTGACAACACTGTACTCTACCTGCAGACGGCCAGGTAAGGCCCCTGCGTGGGCTGAAGCAGCGCCCCGAGGCCCTCGGCAGGGGCGGGCACCAGGCGGCGCCGAGCGAGCGGAGGCCGACCGCGCACAGTCTCCAGTCCACCCCGAGCTTTCGGTAGAGGCGACAGGAGCACAGCTTTCCCTTGCTTCACAGCCTTCAGGGGTTTCCCCACAGCTCACGGGAAAACGCCACGTTGCACCTGCCCCACGGGGTTCCTGCGGCCTGCCCCGCCCCTGGCCCCGCCTCCCTGCCCACGTGCTCTCTCTCTCCCCCTCGTGCTCCCCCTGCCCTATGGGCTCCTGCTTCCCCTCGTGCTCTCCCTGCCCCAGCTGGACCCGGTTCCTGTTTCCCATCACAGGCTCCCGGAGCTTTCCTCCCCCGAGAGCTCTGTCCCAGCCTGCTGGACCTGCTGGTCCTCTCAGCCCTCAGGTCCCGGCTTAGCTGCCCGCCCCGACCGAACACGCCAGGCCTGCACTGAGCGAGGGGCTGTTCTCTGTGAGCCCGAGTTTTGAAGGGCTTGCTCACCGCGGGTCCCTGGGTTTAGCACCGGGCTTGCCCGCAGAGCCTCCCACGTGAGAGGCAGGGAGGGAGGCAGCATTTGCCTCCGCGTAAAGCGGAGGATTCTGTTCATTCTCTTCTGCGGGGTTGCGGGGGGGGCAGACTGACAAGGCCTTTCCCGTCCCTAGAGTATTATGGGAGGTTTTCTCAAATGATAAGGGGGCTACAGCATCCTATATTAGACATGCAGTGCCCCACCATTATAGGAGCATTACAGATATTTCCAGTTTTCACAAACCTTCTATCAAGTGACTGTTATTATCCCCATCTAGAGATAGAGAAACTGAGGCCAAGGGAGATGAGGTAACTTGGACCAGCCAGAGGTCTTCTGTAGAGCTGCCCTGGAAATCCAAGGTTGGCTGAGCCCAGAGCCTTTAACCACTGGGTCGTCAGAGGAAAGAAGCTGAGAGTCACCTGTAATTCTCCACTCATGTTAGCATTCTTACCCCTGTCCTTTCTCAAGCAAGAAAATTTGATTTCTGCCATCACTGTACAGTTGAGCACGAATCCCCAAATCCCAAGATCCTAACCAGGAGAAAGGATTCTGTTTGCTCAGATACCAAAAGGGTTTACATTCTGGATCTGAGTGTCTGCACAGCTCCGCAGCTCTAGCCTCCTTTCCCTACGGAAGAGACTACAGCCTCGGGGTGCGTTTTTCTGAGGGCCTCACAGCAGGTGGGCTCAGGGGGCTCTGGAGTGAGCATGCCCATGGGAGGGGCAGGAGCCTGCATGGCCCCAGTTCTCCTGTAGGGAGTATAAGACTGCGTGTTTTCCCCACTGCTTACCTGCTTCCCCCGCCCCCAGGTTTCTAGTGAAAAACTACCTGCAAGCTCAGGCGATCCCAGGCTCCACACAGGAGTCTCTCCCTCCATCTGTTGCATACCTGACTGCACCCTACCTGGCCAGGTGCCCAGCCCAGAAAGCAGCTGACTTCCTCCACCCAAAACTCTACACCACGGCCTGGGCACACGTGGCAGCCAGGTGAGCAAGAAATTGGCCATTCCACCTGGGGGCAGGCTCCTTCCCACACTAGGGCCTTTGGAGCGGGCTGGGTGAGCATTCGTGGATACTCCTCTGAGAAGAACCCCCCCTTCCCCAACCTCGGTCCTCTCGGTTCCTGCCACCATGGGCAGAGAAGGGGAAGCCACATCCATGAGCCACCATCACTTCCCCATCCTGGCCGAGCTGGTAGAAGGATATCACCCCTCTGGCCAGTGCAAGGAAATTCTTTTTTTTTTTTTTTTAAGAATTTTTTTTAAAAGATTTATTTATTGAAGAGTGAGAGAGCGAGAGCATGAGCAGGGCAGGGGCAGAGAGAGAAGCAGACCCCCCACTGAGCAGTGGCTTGCTCCTAGGACCGAGACCATGACCTGAGCTGAAGTCAGCAGCTCAACCAATTGAGCAACCCAGGAGCCCTGAACTTTTTCTATCTTTAGGCTCTTACTGTGATTTGCAGTGCAATGAATGTGCCCATTTGTAAATACCACAAATGTATCAGTATGTAAATACTGATAAATAATAAATACCAATACTGTATTTAAAATATCCCACAAACTGGGGCACCTGGGTGGCTCAGTGGGTTAAAGCCTCTGCCTTCGGCTTGGGTCATGTCTCAGGGTCCTGGGATCGAGCCCCGAGTTGGGCTCTCTGCTCGGTGAGGATCCTGCTCTGCCCCCCCACCCACCGCCTGCCTCTCTGCCTACTTGTGATCTCTGCCTCTGTCAAATAAATAAATAAAATATTTTTAAAAAAATAGAAATTTTAAAATAAAACACCAAAACAAGCTGGAAGAAATATTATCAGTATATGAAAAGAGGTCTTATACCCCTACCTGTGGTCGAAAGGATGGCTAATAATTATTTCAAGATCACAAGCAACTTTGGACATCCATTTATTTGTTCCACAAATACTAAGTGCCTACAGGGCACCAGGCACTATTCCAAGCATTTTAGATTTATCAGGAAACCAGTCGCAAAAAGCCCAGGCCTCACAGAACTAATGTTTTAGTTGGGGGAGGTGGTGAGTGCCCAGTAAGGCTTCTCAGGGTAGTTAAAATGCCATTATATTGATTTTTGCTTGGAATTAGATGTGACATCTGTTTATCTACTCCCTGACAAGTAAGAGAAAATAAATATTGCTTAATAAACAGTGTGTTTTGCGTAGAAATTCCAAGGGTCATGAGTGGATGGGCAGGGAATAGAAAATAAAATAATAAAGGTTACGTACGTGGCAAATGACCGACTTAGTGGTTTGGGGGACAAGAGTTTGTTTAGTTTTCTTTTCTAGCCTTTTAAGGTCCCTTAGGTAGAACCTGGAACAGGCCTGGTGACTGACAGGTGTCAGTAGCCTTTACAGGAAAACCATTGTCCTTGCTCAGCTACAGAAGGCAGTCAAGGGATGGCGTGGAAACACTGGCATAAGGTGGTGTCTGCATTAGAAAGGAGGGTCAGTGCCCGCGCCAGAGCCCTGAGGCTTTCCAGCTCCGAGGTCAGGACAGCTCTACCCCTTACTAACTGTGTGACCCAGACTAGTTAAGTGAGCCAGTCTGGGACTCAGCTTTCTCCATTGTAAATTGGGAATGCCTAGCCTTACAAGGGTTAGAGAGGTAATGTATAGTCACCATTTAGCTTTGCAACACAAACCAATGGTCAATCAACGGGAATGACTGCATTTCTACTTCTGAGGGATCCCCAGGTAGCCTGAACCAGACTCCATCAGTGTCCTTCCCACTCAGTCAGGAAGTGGAACCTTTTTTTTTCTCTGGCCTTCAGGCTCATAAAGGACTCAGCGCATCACCTAGAGACTCTGATGCAATCTGGGGCTGACTGGGATGAGGCATGGAACCAGACCACGGTCATACACCTCCAGACTGCTAAGGTGAGCTGCCCCTCAGCTGAAGCGCCAGCTGAAAGGGACCTGTTTGTTTACCCAGCAGACCACCACGCTGAGAAAATCTGAGCTCTGCCATTATTCCCCAGCCCTGCTCCGTGGCTGCCCTCATTTCACTTCCAAGGCTTTCGTCCAGGGTATTTTAATTAAAGGACTTAACTCCAAAGCAATCTTGCTGACAGCTCTTAGGGAAAAATGTAATGAGGCAGTGTTATTGGATTTGCTTCAGGTTGTTCAAATATTTCCTCCCAGATAGAAAAGCAGGTCAAGTCTCCCTTTAGCCCCACAGGCAAGCCTTAGATGTCTGATTTAATTTCTACTATGTTTTGTGTTTGTGCATAATTCACATTCAGTCAGCAAATATTTGAGCACCCGCTCAACACCAGGCATGGGTTGGGAGCTGGGGCCTCCATGGTGCCCTTACACCCAGTGCCACCAAGGCAGAACTCTGATGGGGAGACACAGGCTGCCGTGGGATCCCAGAGAGGTGCAGCTCTTACCCGGCGTGAGGATCCGAAAGGCTTCCCAGAAGGGACGTAGAGGCCAGGACTTCAAGGAGGAGCTGAAATTAGCCAGGCAAAGGGTCGATGCTGTGGTCTGGGAAACAAAGGTTTCCTGGCAAAGGGAACAGCAGGTGGAAAAGGAAGAGGCAAGAAAAGGCACGGTGATTGAAGAAATGCAAATCCTCCCAAGGAGGAGCTCAAGGAGGAAGACTGAACCCAGGAGAGGAAGGCAGTTAGGGGATGGGGAAAGATAGGCAAGGCCTGGGACCTTCTGCCTCACTGTGAGCAGTTTGGTTTTGTTCTCATTGCCATGGGAAGCCTTGGACGACTTTGTATCATGGGAGTGAGGTGATCAGAGTTTCACCGTAGAAGAATCATGCAGGCTGCCTGGGGAGCAATGGACTGGAGGCTGGAAGCCAGTTAGGAGCAAGCAGCGGCAGTCTGGCCAAGGGCTTGGATGGTCCCGACCATGACCTTGGCAGAGGGCATGGAGAAGAGTGGGTGGATACAGACATATTAAGGGGGTAGGAGATAGTGACAGGCTTCTTAGAGTAGTGGGCTGGGAAAGAGGTTGAGTCCTGAGCTCTAGCTTAGGCAGCTGAGACTCTGGCCCTACCTACAGCTGGAAAACCAAGATGAATGCTCAGATCCTCAAGCATCAGGCCCAGGAACTGGCAGGAAAGCCCGAGGAGAGCTTTGTAGCGCCCTTGGGCGCAGGCTGGGCATGAGCGCCCCCTGGTGACCTGCCCCCTCTACCACAGCAGCCGGTGCTGGTCTTACCTGGGCCACCATCCTCCAGGCTGTGTCCACCGCAGGAGCACTCCCTGCTGTGCTAAATGTCCTATCAACACAGGGGAGGGTGAGCCAAGGCTGTGTTCTCACCAGACAAACACAAAAGGAATCCCAGCTGCCCATGATGCATCCGTTTTCCAAACCTGTGCTCTGCCTTCCAGTGGAGTGGACCCTGCATGTCAGGGTTACCTCATTTAGTACCTACCACCCTGGGGGGGGAGAGCAGCATAATCTCCATTTTAAGGATGAGGAACCAGAAATCTAAAGAATTAAGTCCCAGAAGTAGAAAATAGTTAAGATGCTTTGCTTTCCTTTCCCTCACAGAGGCAAGCTGTGTCCTCAGGGAGCCACTATGTGTAAGGGAGGGAGGTGATCCCCGAGTTCTAGGGATACTGAGGGTAGAGAGTTCCACCAGCCTAGAGGAGAAGAGCAAGTCCCTTCTCCTCCGGCCATTGTAAGCTGAAGAAGAGTGGCTTCCTGGGGAGATGGTGCCCAAGCTGACTCTCCGAAGTCAGAGGGGCAGGGAAATCTGCAATTTCTGAGCTTCATGCTTTGGAAGAACCATCTACTCTACAGAACTCTTAAGCACCCACCAAGTCCCATCTAGAAACCATAAATATGCAGGTAGAGAGTGAGCAACACAAGGGGAGTGGGAACAGTGGCAGAGTGGTGGCCTAAGTTCTGTTCCCAGCTCTGTGCATGACCGGCTTCTCTATGTGACCTCCAATGTCCTTCCTTCTCTGGGCTGTAACTTCCCAGTCTGTAAAACAAAGGGGCATGAAAAAGACCTTTAGGTTCTGACGAGTTCTGGTCCTATTATCTGAGACCCTGCTCTGGAGAGAGGTCTGTCCCTAGGACCACGGGAGCAAATGCTGGTCCTCATTCTAATCCAGCCTCGGTCTCTCATGGCTTTGGCAACGCAGGGGAATAGTGAAGAGTACAGACGCTTAATCAGGAGATGGACTATTTTGGTGTGGATCTTGTTACTACCACTTGCTAGCCAGGTGACCTTGGGCAAGGAAGTTAATCCCTCAATGCCTCAGTCTCCTCATCTACAAAATGGAGTCAATCATAATACCTACCTTTTAAGATTATTATGGAGATTAAATGAGTTAATACATGTAAAACGTAAAATGCACCTAGCATATAAATGCTACACATCCCACCCCACACACCAAATTAGTCAGGAGGCAAGGTTTAAACCAACACACACAAAAAGTAAAGAGTTCATTGCATTTGGAGCATGGTGCCAACGTTCGGCTCACCCTGTCACGGGAACAGAAGCCACGGAGGCCAAGGCCCTCGAGCAGCTTTTTCTCACTCCACTCCACAGCCCAGGGCCCTGAGAGTTTAAGGATGTGGTCCTCAGATGAGAAAAGGGAAGCCAGGTCTGTCTGACTCAGCGGGGGCAGCAACGCACATCTGCTCCCCTTCTGCACCCAATTGCTGCGAACCCAGTGTGGCTGGGAGCACACCAGGTCCACGCAGCAGAGTGTGTCGTTAGCCCCCGTGTGAGGCCTCCGTGGGAAAGGCAGATCCTTTCCAAGTGAGAAACCTGATGGGCTCACTTTCCTGTTGAAGACTTTGTGGCTCTCCGACCCCCAGGGAAAGAAATCCCAACTGATGGGATCTGATGTGGGTCTCGGGAGTGAATGGTCAAGAAAGAATTCTTAAGCCATTTTCAGTGCAAAAAAGGTGGTTTTATTAAAGCCCAGGGGCAGGACCAGTGAGCAGAAATAGCTACCCTGGGAGTACGAGGAGTGATTGATTACAAACATTTAAACTGGGAGGGGTAGAGACAAAAGGAGTTTCCAAAAGGATTTTCATACATTCGAGAAGACTTACTGGATCCTGGAGGCCCAGTTATTGTCAAGCTAAGGTGTTTTTTTCCCTCTAGCAAGGCATTAACATGAAGACAGTTCAGTTGTGCAGTTCAGTTCCTGGAGGAATGTCATACTCTGTCTCAAGTATTTGTCAGTGGGCTGCAAGTTAGAGGAAAATTTCATCTTATCTACATTTCTTTTGCCTTTGTTCCCCACTTCCCCAGCCATGTGGATCACGGCCCTTCAGTGGTGCGGGGCTATGTGGGGGGGCAGCCTCACCACTGCAGGTCGGTCATTGCCTCACTATGCCCCAGGGGGCAGCCCCAGCAGACTGGGTCAGCCTCCTGCAAGCACAGTCCAGTGTGCACGCAATAACCCCGGCCCCGGCCCTGCTCCTTGTCAGACTTCTTTGAACCCTCCAGACAGTCTAAGCCTTGTTACTTAAGGTATTACTGGGAAGCTACCTGGAAATTTGTATTTTCACGAGACGCTCAACTGATCTGTATTCACATCAACATTGGAGAAGAGTTTTGTTTGCTTGACTTTTCTCCCTGCCCCCCCATGGAATTCGTAAACCTGACCTGATAACAATAATGTGCATTTGTCTTGGGGAGAAGGGGAATATTCAAAAATATTCAACAACCAGCAGGGGGGCTCAGACTAATCAGAAAGCACTACAGGCCTCACGGAAGCAGGGGCCTGAAAGCCTCCTCCTGGGTCAGGCATTCATCCTTTTTCTGCAGAGCTGTGGGGAGGAGGGGGTCCCAGGGAAGGATCCCAGCTTGACAGACAGGGGAGTCTCACTAGGTTGAGGGCTGTGGTCACTTACCAAGTGGAACTACTGACAAAGCCAGACTGTTGGGTACGGGTGAGCTAACAGCCCTGCTTACCTTGCAGAGTTCACTTTCTAGCTGGGATACATTTTATGTCCATCATGTACCTCTACTTTCTCACCCCAAGAAACAAAAGCACACACACACACACACACACACACACACACACACACCGGTGCCTTGAACACGGCAAACGACAAACAGCTGTTTTCTTCAGAAATGTGGTGCCGTCCTCCACTGTCTCCAGGCCAGCCTCCAATACCCCTGTATTCTTTCTACTTTCAAACCTCCTTGAAATTTCCCCAAACAAAATGAGGAAGCTACCAAGTCCCAGAGCCCACAAGCCCCCAACCGGAGCACATGTGCGAATACATATTCACACGCACACACACACCCCCCATGGGGACCCGTGTAAGCTGGGGAGGGGGGGGGACACATGGCCACAGCGACCTCACCCCAACAGTCTTGCCGAGCTTCCAATATGACTTCTGGAGTCAGAAATCAGAAGCTGATGGATCTTCGTGTCTTTTAGGCACACTGCTACTATATCAGTGTGAAGAGCTTTACAGAAACTCTGGAGAAACTGGAAAACAAACCAGCGGTTCAGCAGGTGCTCAAACGCCTCTGTGACCTCTATGCTCTGCACAGCATCCTGACTAACGCTGCTGACTTTCTCCACGATGGCTTCCTGTCTGGGGCCCAAGTAGATGCGGTGAGAACCGGCTACCTGGAGCTGCTCGGCCTCATCCGGTGAGTGGCTGGCCCCCAGACCCTCAGGCCGTGCTAATCTTCAGAGAAGAGCCCCACACCCTTAGTTCCCTTCCCACTCCGAAACCTGGCGCTCCAGGACCTTGCTAAACAGGGTCCGGCAGAAGCAGCAACCACCCTGGAGAGGCTGACCCGGTAGCACGGTTACCTCAACGTAAAGCGTGGTAGATTAATGAAAGGAAAAAAATGAAAAAACAATTAGAAATAAAAATGCTTAAAAACAAATAATCGCCACCAAATACTCTTCAACACTGTAAAGGAAATAAGGAGAGTATCTAAAGGAAGCATCCCACCGTATTCATAGTATGCACAGATAATATTAATGAGTCTTCTTCATAGCTCGTATTTAAGGAACACATATATGTGCCAGGCATTATGCCAAAAGCTTTCACATGCATCATCTCACTTAATCCTTACAGCCTTCTGAAATGAACACTATTAATCTCCCCATTTTACTGGGGAGGAAATTCAGGCTGAGGGGAGGAAGTACCTTGCCCCAGGTCTCAGAATCAGCCAGGGGAGATCAGGGGGCACTCTGGGGCCTGACCTGAGAATATCCTCTTCAACTGTGTTAAAGTTAAGGTGGGGCGATTATGTTTCAAATATATCCTTGTCTTTTTGAATGGGCTGAGGCAAATCCTTACTAAGTGGGCTAAACTTACTTTAATCCTTGCTCAGCTTCATGATGATTTTTTTTAAAAAACCCGGTCTTCGAACACAGATTCAAAAAGCAATAATACAAACAGTTCTTAAATGCACACAGTTCAGGGTCATGACATACTAATGCGGCCCTTCCATTCTGTTACATTGTATATAATTTAGAGGATCACTTTAAAAACATTGAAATCAAAGCCCCAACCTGAACAGAGCACTGGAAGAAACAAACAAAACAGGGTAGGCACTGTTGTCTCTAGGATAAAAATGGGCTACTTGAGAGTGCAACCTTTTCTGAGAAAATAGGATGACTGTTTCATGTGGGGTGGTATCACGTGTGTGTGTGTGTGTGTGTGTGTGTGACTTTTCCCCTAGAACCTCCAATAGTTACACTATCTATAAGACTAAGATGATAAAAAAGGCCAATAAGCTACTTGTGACAAAGTTTAAAAAAAAAATCTAGATCAAATTATTTTTATTTCTAACAACATGCAACATGCTACAGACCATTTATGAGTCCATATAAGCACCTAACAGATATTCAGTGGTCAGCAAATGTTCAATTAAACCATCAAAAACTGTCAAAAATACATTTTTTTACAAATCTGGCCCAGGTATTAAACTTTTCCTAATAGAGAGAATCCAGTGGTGAGAACCATTAATAGCAGAACTGAGTATTACACAGGTCAAGCTCAAGTGTACCTAATTCTGAAATGCTTGGCGTTTTATTATTTTTTTAAGATTTACTTATTTAGGGGCACCTGGGTGGCTCAGTGGGTTAAAGCCTCTGTCTTCGGCTCAGGTCATGAACCCAGGGTCTTGGGATCTAGCCCCGCATCAGGCTCTCTGCTCAGCAGGGAGCCTGCTTCCTCCTCTCTCTCTGCCTGCCTCTCTGTCTACTTATGATCTCTGTCAAATAAATAAATAAAATCTTAAAAAAAAAAAAAGATTTACTTATTTATCTGAGAGACAGAGAGAGAGTCTGAGCAGGCATGGGCACTGAGGGAGAAGGAAAGAGAGAGAATCTTCAAGCAGACTCCTGCTGAGCACAAAGCCCAAGGCACAGGGCTCTGAGATCATGATCTGAGCCACAATTAAGAGTCAGGGGCTTAACCCTCTAAGTCACTGGGCACCCATGAAATGCTCCGCATTTAAAAGTGTATGAAGTTAGTAAGATTCTAGCCTGATTGACACAGATGAAACACAAAAGATCACCCTAACACCTCAGAAGCATGATTTTTTAAATCTACAACAGCATTTCTAGGTGCTTGCCTTGGTGCCGGAGACTTACAACTTAAGACCAACAGCACTGACACAAACAGGCAACTTATGCATGCATCTAACCCACAAACTGATTTATGCACGTTATGGTTCTTTTTTTTTTTTTTAAGATTTTATTGATTATTTGACAGAGAGAGAGATCATAAGTAGGCAGAGAAGCAGGCGGTGGAGGGGGGGGAAGCAGGCTCCCCACCGAGCAGAGAGCCCAATGTGGGGCTCGACCCCTGGACCCTGAGACCATGACCCAAGCTGAAGGCAGACGCTTAACCCACTGAGCCACCCAGGTGCCCCCATGTTATGTTATGGTTCTTAAGTAACCTTCCTATCACTGCAAGGGTGTTAGGTATGTAACAGACATTGTGCGTGTAACAGTTCTGTGTCACAGTTCCCTCCCTTGATTACTTAGTATCACCCTCTGATTTCTGAGATGACAAATGAAGGATGGCACACTATTTCATGTGACACTAAGAACCAGCTCTCTGTGTAACGGTAATTAACTGACCCACAATTTACAGTTAATTAATGGGTCGTAAAATCTCAGGTGGAGGACAGACAGGTGAAGACAGCAGACTGACCATATACATTTACTTTTGTTCCCTCCTGAAACCCCATGAAAATACCAGCAAATGGATTAAAATCTTTTTAAAGGTATAAATTGACAAAAAGAAAAAACAAGGGATGGGTGCCTGGGTGGCTCAGTTGGTTCAGCGACTGCTTTCGGCTCAGGTCATGATCCTGGAGCCCCAGTATTGGGTCCCACATCGGGCTCCCTGCTCAGCAGGGAGTCTGCTTCTCCCTTTGACCCCTCCCCCCTTCTCATGCTCTCTTTCAGTCTCTCTCTCAAATAAATAACTAAACAAAAATTTTAAAAAGAGAAAAAAAACAGGGGAGGAAACGTGAAAGTAAGAAAGTAGATGGACAGTGACTTAGCAGATCTGAGAAAAACTGGATCACAAACCAGGAGTGGGAAACAAGTTATACCAAAGAACCCCAAGAACTAACAGCACTGTGTACGTCTGGCAATCAGGGTGAAGGTAAGACCCACAGGAGGGGCTGAAAGTCCATTTCAGAAGGAGCTGAACTCCTAGCTCCCCTCCTTCTCTGCAAGCAGTTTTGAGATTCTCTGACTCCACCCTGGCAGAAGGGCACACAGATGGTCTGTGGGCCAGGGAACATCGAGCATAGTTGAGAATGAGGCTACCCACAGAAAACAGGGGCCTGGATAAATGTTTATAGGCTAAGTGCTAACCTAAGCCCCCTCCCTCAGCCCTCTTTCCCCTGGGTTCCAGAAAACTGGCAGCCAGGCCAGTAGCTATAGGAAGACGATAGCATGTTCCTTCTCTGGAGACTCTGAACAGCCCAAAGGAGACTAAACTGAAGATACTGACACACGGGTACCCCCAGTTCACCCCATAATGAATCCCACACATTGACAAGCATGCCCAGACTTGTAATCAGCTAGCTAGTGCCCCACTCTTAGCTATGATTAGACACCTGGGGGGGAACCCCTGACAGAAAAGAGACCCCAACAAGCAAGAATGAAACAAAATGGACTGCACAAGAGAATCTTCAGGGAAAAGAAATCTTTTTAAAAAGATGAGTAATATCCTTAAAGAGTTAGGAGGAGATACAGCAATCACAAAATAAGAATGTTATTTCTTAAAAAGTAATATTCAGGGGGGAAAAAAAAAGACCTCTGTGAAACCAGAAAACGATAGTGGAAATGAAAAACTCAGTGGAAGGACCGGAAGAGAAAGTTACATAAATCTCACAGAAAAGAAACCAAAAAGACAAAAAGATAAAAATTAGAAAAGATAAAAATAGTAAGAAGACTGATCTTATCTGTCCATCATCTGAAAAAGAGGTCTAAAAAGGGCAGACAGAGAAAATAGAAGGGAACAAACCATTAGCAGAATAATTCAAGAAAATACTCCTCAAATGAAGAGCACAAGTTTCAGACTGAAAAGGCCATGGGTGTTTACAGACTAGAGGAGACAAACACACACGGAAAAAATAAGTCAAGCATACAGTATGCAAAATGGTAAGTAAATGCTATGAAGAAAAGGAAAGCAGGGAAGGGGGTCAGGAATGCTGGGAGTGCAAAGCAGGGGGGGGGGTGGGGGACTGTAGTTTTCTTTTATTTTTTAAGGATTTTACTTTTAATCTCTACGCCAAAGGCAGGGCCCGAACTCACAACCCCAAGATTAAGAGTCACCCTCTACTGACTGAGCCAGCCAGGTGCCCCAGGGACTATAGTTTTAAATAAGTCAGAGAAGGCCTCTCAGGGAGGGTGATGTTTGAGGAAAGATCTCAAGGGGCGGGGACAGGAGAGAAGCCATACGGTTGGCTGGGAAAGGAGCACCCCAGGTAGAGAAGTACAAACGCTGGAGGCGAGAGCATGCTTGGCGCCTCCATCCAAAGAACAGACAACAGTGACTGAGGTGGAGGAAGGACAGCAGAGGTCAGAGAGTTTAGGGTGTACCAGGCCAGGGGCGAAAGGGGGTGGAGATCATCGCAAAGACTTAAGATGTTGGCTCTTACTTTGTGTGAGAGTGGGAGGGTTTTCAGTATTTCAATCATCTGATGAATTTTTCTAAAGGATCATTCCAGCTGCCATATTAAGAAGTGACTGGGCGGCGGGGGGGGGGGGGGGCGGTGGATTAAAAAGCAGGGAGCCCAGCTCGGAGGTTACCTCAGTAATCCACGGGAAAGATGATGCTGGGTTAGACTAGGTGATAGCACTGGAGGTAGTGGGAAATGGCTGAAGTTTGGGTGTATTTTGAAGGTAGAACAGGATTTGCTGACAGATCAGATGTGGGGTGTAAGCGACGGAGAGCAGCACAGGTTTTTGGCCAGGACAGAGTTGCCATTCGCTATAAATGCACCAGGTTTGGGCAGGATGTACAGAAGGTGTAGAAGATCAGGAGTTTGGCTTTGAACATGTTCACTTTGAAGAGCCTGTTAGAAATCAAGTAAGATGTTAATAAGCAGGTAAGTGAGACGGGAGAGATAAATTTGGAAGTCATTAGCATATGGCTGGTATTTAAAGCCCTCAGAAGGATATCACATGGAGTGACTGTAAAAGACAAGTACTCACATGGAGTACTGAGTCTTGGGACCCTCCAAAGAGGAGGAGAGGAGGTGGCCCTGACAAGGGCTATTTCAGTGGAGTGGTGGAAATGAAAACCTGAACGGATCTAGTCTAGGAGAACAGGTGGAGGAGAAAAAATAGCAAAGCATAAACAAGAACAACACTTTTAAGGAGTTTTATCATAAAGGGGAGCCAAGATCTGGAGTAGATGATGGAGAGGGAAAAATAGACTCAAAAGTTTGTTTTCAAGATGGGAAATAGGAAAGCACGTGTGTATCTGAAAATGATCCAGTGGAGAAAGATTTTGACATTGTAGAGGAAAGGCAAGAGAATTTCTAGAATGTTCTCTAGTAGGCAAGAGGGGAGGGCATCTAATGGATGAGGAAGGACTGACGTGAGCTGGGCACTTGGAAAGCGTACCTATACTAAAAACAGAGAAAGCATGCAGAAATATATGGGTGAGAACTTGTGGCTAGGCTCTTACTGAGTCTATTTTATCAGTGAAATGGAACCAAAAGTCATCTAAGTAAGAGAGATGGGGAGGCGGGTCGTGTGGATTTAAGATTCAGAGAGAAGGTGTGAAATAATCATCTAAGAGAATGGAAATGTAAAGGCATGAGAGCAATGTCGTATGATCGCTAGGCAGCAGGAAGGGAGTTACATACACCACTTGGAACTGGTTTCCCAGCCACCTATAGCTACAAAGGCACAGAGTCAGTGAAAAACTGCTGAATCTGTTTTTGAGGGAGTAAATGTAACAGACCAGGCATTTCAGCTGAATAAGGAAGGAAGGGAGGCCACCAGGAGGATGAGGGACATGAAGTAAGTGGTGGGTGTGGATAGGGTCAAAGAAGTGCAAACAGCCTGAAATGGAAATGCTCTGACAGTGATGGTGAAGGATCACCCAGAGAAGATGACAACAGGTAGGTACAGTATCCCAGTCGGCTCAACTGCTTTGGGTGTAAACAACAGCAGTGTTATGCTTTAGATCCTTTCCTTAAAAAAGGAAGAGAAGCATGTGAACATTTGTTTAAAATACTTCATTCAATAGGCTAAAATAAAACGTATTTCGTTGAATGAAAAAGAAAAAGAAAGGGGGGGGAGCTATCAGAGTCAGAACTCTAGAGGGAGTAAGCTAAAAGGACGGGAGCCAGCAACAGGAAGACACCCCACATCGCCATCCCAGAAAAGGTGCCTATGTGGAGGACTGAGACCTGGGGAGGGCTCCTGCCGGGGAGTGACAGCGCAACAGGATCAGCGGAGAAGATCCCAGAACGTTGAGGCCACACTGTAGAGGAACATTCATGTAAGCAATGAAATCACTAAGGACGATGACGGAGGAAATGGGGGAGAAAAGCAGCAGACCAGGAGGCACATCACAAATGGAGAGACATGGTAGGGACACAGCTCAGCTGTGAGCAGGATACATAAAGTCACCATCATACACACACATACAGCCATCACAGTGGAAGTCCCTAATGCAAGTCTGACTCATAACTATACTAGGAGCAGGAAGGCCGAGGAGAAGCAACGCCAGGGCTGGGGCAGGGTCGGGGGAGGGGTGGGGGGTGGGAAGAGAGGATGACATATAGGGGTGAGGGTAGGGGACCCAAAACATATCCTTATCTTTTTGTAATGGAGAGTTGACAGATAATATCTAAGACGGAACAATCCAGAAGCGGCAATCCGAACAAGATAGAGACATTCAAAATATATCAGCTTAAAGACTGAAACGGATTCCAGGGGTGGGGGAAGTAGAAGGGAGACAGGGAGGTGCTGATTTTAAGGAGCAGGCCTTGAAGACTGCTGGAGTCTATACTTGTGTAGAGAACAGATCAAAAATCAAAACTTCTAAAAAAATTTAAAGCTGAGTTGTTAAAAAGTGAATAATGATCAAGTCTCTAATTAGGTGTTGTTATTCACCATCCCTGATTAATTAGATTCATAAGAGCAATCTAAAATACTCAGAAACTCTTGTTCTCTCTCACAGGAAGGATGCCATCTTGTTAACTGATGCCTTTGACTTCACGGATCCCAGTTTAAATTCAGCACTTGGCTGTTACGATGGAAATGTCTATGAACGTCTGTTCCACTGGGCTCAGAAGTCACCGACCAATACTCAGGTAGTTAAGTAGAACACATTATAAATTATGTAAGAGAGCAGAGAACAAGCAGTGAATTCACCTCCATGTTTTCTCATTTTAATTGATTCCCATTAGGTTGGAAATTGCTTGGCATAGAGTGTCTGTTGAAAATATTTTGAGAATACATAAAAGAAACCAGGAGTGGGGATATGGCCCGGCAGGAACAGAGTCTGGACTGTAATCAGCAAAAGGCATTGCTCAGAATTTGGTAAAGGGAACGAGGAGGAAGGTCCAGGCTCTAAGTCATGGCTTGACATACCCAAGGGCATATCATATAAACATAGTGGCAGACTGGCTTTTAAATAACAAAAATAAGATAAATCATTGCAGTGATTTAACCATCTTATTTTCAGCCTTTTAACTCTCAGTTTTGTGTTGATAAAAATGGGTACTCAGAAGGGATAGGAAGCTTGGGATGTGGCGGAGCACTCTCAGATCTGACCATCTGCTGGAGACACCTCCTTTCTCTGCATCGAGGAACACAGCCCCAGGAACAAAGAAGGCTGCTGCAGGGCCATCGGCAGCCCAGGAGAGCTGTATAAATGACCATTACGAGGGTTATGGAACAAAGATCCCCAGCTGTCCTAAGAGAGAATACCAGAACTCTGTGTCATTGACAGAAGAGGGGAGGACTCCTAAAATCCTAACGATCGAGGGCCCGCATCACAGACCCTCTGCTCTAAGCCTCACTGGAAAAGGTTATGAATGTCAATGACTCCAATTACTGGAGTAAAGAAATAAACCCTATTTTTAGAGTGTGGTAAGCCACATTTAATAGCAGATTTTATACAGATGATCAAAACAAAGATAATCTATAGATACGCAACAGATTATTTTAAGCTCTATAGTGCAAATATGTTACTCAGATAGGGAAGCCTACTCTTTTACCCCTTAGGTCAAATTTCAGAAAAGGTGTCTTAACGCCTCATAAAATTGGCAACTCTCAGACTTTCATTCACACTTAGCGTGGTGTTAGACTTGCTCTTCACATTTTGCATCCTGTCATACCTCATAGCTTAATCTACCATGATTATCTAAAATTAGAACACAACTGGTCACCTCCAAGATGCTTGTCAGAAGGCCAATCCATTTTGGCCACTCCCCGTCTCCAGGGAGGCATCCTTTTAACCTGACAAGAAAATAGAAAGAACTCACCTAGAGAAAGGTTGATACATTTACCGCTTCATACAGTCAAGCTACTTCTGGCGTTTTACTTTTTCTAATTAGATCTCCCTACTTTCTACTGTTTAAATCCTGGCATGAAACAGCAGTCCTCCTACTCCAGGTGAGCTCCTGTGGTCTAAGGATAACTGTATTATGCCCTGTGATGCGCCGGCGAGAAACTGAGCCTGCTGTACACCTGCCAGCAAATGCTGATCTATCTAGCTCAGACCTGCTTAACTAGCAATACGAGGAGGAAACATGCCAGTTCTAATTCCTCATCTTCACTAAAGAACATAGGGAGTGCCTTGGTTTGTCTTGGTTTGTTGTTGTTTTTTACACTTTGTGTCTCCTCTTTATTTTTTAAAGATTTTATTTATTTATTTGACAGACAAATCACAAGTAGGCATAGAGGCAGGCAGAGAGGGAGGAGTGGGGAAGCAGGCTCCTCGCTGAGCAGAGAGCCCGATGCGGGGCTCGATCCCAGGACCCTGAGATCCTGACCTGAGCCGAAGGCAGAGGCTTTAACCGACTGAGCTACCCAGGCGCCCCTCCTCTTTACTTTAAAAGCACTGAATCTGGATACTGTATGAGGGCAGGTTTATGGAAATGAGGGACATGACTGGTCCATGGCATCAACAGACCTGGTAAAATGTTGATGTATTTCATCCCATTCACTTCTGTTTTTCCTTTTCTCCTGCTACTTGACTGTGAACAAGGAGGGAGTCTTCCTCTTCCTAAGTCCAGGATCTGTCTCAGAGTAGACACTTTCTATTTATGGAATAAATGAACACAGTTTTATGATCCTCACAGCGGGCCAGAGAACCTGCTGTAGACACCGTAGGCGCTGTAGACTTCCTGCCCATTGTGGCTTACGTCACTTGGCTAAAAGGGGGCCAGGTATAGCAGTGTGGCTCTTCCACACACAGTAATTTGGGCATGTGAGGTTATCAGTGACCTTGGGGAATTGTTGCCAGTTAGTTAAAATGGCAGTCGGTCGACCACTGACATAGAGCCACATAATCTTCTATCACTGGCTCCTTGAGAGTCTACCGAAATAGCACTTTTAAGGTATGTATTTCTAATCTGCTATAGATAATTCTGAAGCTGCAATAAGAGACATTTTCCCCCTTCATTTGCACTAGTAGAAAAAGGCACGTGACAGGTATTTCAAGTAAATTAAAACAACAGCTACATTAAAACACGCCTTGGAGACACAACATTACAAATGGGAATATACTTCATCAACATTTTCTACCAAAAGAAAAGTGCTATGCTGAGTTGAATGTCTTAGAACCCTAAGACAGTCTCTGCTCTGTCTGGGGCAGGTTGAGTGTTGACCTCTATCCCTAGATAGGATGATCCGCTTTCTCATAGTGTCCTCTAGCCATGGTGTGTTTTCTGGCTTTTTTCCTGAGCTGGGTGCTATTTCAAGCCAGATTCTCCAAAGGAATTGCAAAAGGCTGTTCCTGCTCCCGACGTGAATTCATATTTAAGTGATTACCTATAGATGCAAACAGCGCAAGAATCACTGAGGATTTTCAAAACAAGAATCCTATATCCCCTAAGTATTCTACTGTAAAAATTTGTCCAAGTAGCTGCTAGAAGCATTAAACATACCTACTGATTCATTCAGTCAGTCGGTCATTCAGTAAATATTTATTGAGCATATGCTATATGCCAGAAACTATTCTATGTACTAAGGCTACAGTGGAGAACAAAAGAATCATAGATCCTGTCTTCAATGAGGAGCTTCAAGTTTTAGCCAAGACAGGCAAAAAGTTTAATAAACAAGTTAACATAAAAGATGAGGCTAGAACTGTAAAGGAAAGAATCAAGACACACAGTAACGAACAATGGGGACTAACCTACTCTGACATAGAATCTTGATTACCTTAGGCCACCTTCTGATTCCTTGCTTTGTGGTTAATGTTCAATTTCAAAGAACGTCAAAAAGTCAAGCATTTTATTTGTATTAAATTCCAAAAGCAAATGATAAGCTGTTTCTTAGTTGGCCACCTGCATCCACAATTTAAAATCTGCATGAGAAAAGGAAGGATGCCCTTTGGAAAAAATGTTTCTCCATATGTTCACACAAAATGCCTTTAAAAAATAATTTTTAAAATTAAGAATCTTATGTTACTTTTTTGAAACTAAAAACTTAATTTGAAGGTAGAAGTCATTAATCCCAGCAGAAATAATGTCCTAACGATGCACTTTTTTCTACAAATAGGGGAACCCTGCCTATGAGAAATACTTAAGACCACTATTACAAAGCTGGAAATCCAAGCTGTGAAGTCATCAACGGCATTCAAGAGGCACCACTGTGTGATAATGGTACTATGGCATATACAGCATTAAATTTTAAAGTATGCTTCACATACACATTATATATTTCAAAGTGCATATATATATTGTTTTTAGAGTAAGCTCTAGGGACACCTGGCTGGCTCAGTCAGTTAAGCATCTGCCTTTGACTAAGGTCATGATTTTGGGGGTCTTGTGGTCCTGGGATGGAGTCTTGCATGGGGCTCCCAGCTCAGTGGGGAGTCTGCCTCTCCCTCTGTCCCCCACTCCTGCTCTCTCTCTCTAATGAATAAATAAAATCTTTAAGGAAAAAAAAAAACCAAAACAATAAAGTAAGCCAATACCCAACGTGGGGTTGGAATTTACAATCCCAAGATCAAGAATTATATACTCTACCAACTCAGCCAGCCAGGCACCCCCTCAAGTATTTATTTTTTTAAAGAGTGGGTCATTATCTGCGTGGACTGAAAAAACATCTATGATTTACTTCAAGATAATCCATGAAAGGAAAAGAGGAGAGCCAATAGCTGAAGACAGTGGGTCCAGGGGTGTTTGCACTATTCGACTTCTGAGTATGTCTGAAATTTCCCATGATAAAAAACAGTAGTGCTATCCATTTGTTGCATCTATTTAGTAAAACTGAAGAATTTTACTTTAGATCTAAAGTCAACAGATTCATCAGTTATCACTTATGTTTAATTTAGCACACATTTATCCAAGGGTTTAAAAGAACATACACAATTCTCCAAACGTGCTTGTACTTGGAGTAATCTAAATAAAATGCAGAGCCCTGAGAATACCACTGAGTATCGATTTTTGAAAATCGACTATTTCGCAGTGAAAATTATTTAAAATTTTCTTAAAAAGACATACTTGTTTCAAATTACCCAAATATAATCAAACTACATTTTTCATATTGCATAAGTGAATAAAACACTCAAAATTAAATGCCACCAGACAAATTAAATTGCAAAAAATCTCAGTTGGCTACTTTTCCTAATTTATTCATAAAAATAACCATTTAGCTGTTAATAAATTTTTTCCTTTTTTTTTTTTTTTTTAAAGTAGCCTCCACACCCAGCATGGAACCCAACTCAAGGCTCAAACCCACGACCCTGAAATCAAGACGTGACCTGAAATCAAAAGCCAGATGCTCAACAACCGACTGAGTCACCAAGGGGCCCCTCAGTTGTTAATAATTAATAAATCTGAGAAAATTTACCAAAACAAACTTCTCTCCAGTAAATCGAGCAAGGAACAGACCCCATAGATTTTAACTTTTAAAACCCTAGAACAGCTATTATTCCCATTTCCACATCAATTTTCAACCCAAGTCACTTTGTCTTGCCTCTACTTCCGCCAACTCAACACATAAGTGGCTGGATAATTTTTTGATGGGGGGTCTCTAATCAATTTGAAGTATGAGACGGTTTTCTAAAAAGATAACCTCACACTAGCACATTCACTGAAATCACGGCAACCTGCCAAGAGAATGAAGGGAGTTTAGTTTGAAGATGGCTAAAGATGGTTTAGTTGAAGATCGTGAAAACGGGGAAATTACAGGTTTCTAGATGCTGGTCATTTGTCAGTTTTTTTTTTTTTTTTTAAGATTTTATTTATTTGATGGAGAGAGACACAGTGAGAGAGGGAACACAGCAAGGGGAGTGGGAGAGGCAGAAGCAGGCTTCCCACAGAGGAGGGAGCCCAATGTGAGGCTCGATCCCAGGACCCTGGGATCATGACCTGAGCCAAAGGCAGAGGCCTTAACAACTGAGCCGCCCAGGCACGCCAGTCATTTGTCAAATCTTAAAATAGATTTTCAGAGACATGGGCAAAAATGGATGTAAGTAAGTGTTCTCATCCTCCTTTCAGAGCAAGAATCTCAGAATCTTCTCTGAAGAGGAGAAAAGGAGTGACCTGCCCGAGGGCACACAGCCTCAGAACTCTAGTCTTCCCTTAGAAAACAGGAAAATTACATGACTTCCCTTTATAAGGTGTTCTTGAAAACTAGGAAGTCTCACTATAGTTACATAATCCTTCCTGTAACTTCCAAGAAAGATAATCAAATCAACTATTCAAAATAAGACCACAGTGAAATAAAGTACATCCATGTATCTCCTGTTCCAGAGCCTACAGTCACTGCAGTTTAGTTTTTCTCCTCAGAAACAGACTTAACCATAATAATAAAATATATTTGTTGGCCACCATAATATTGTGAGAAAAAAAGTAGCTGAAGAGGCATTTTGTCCCTGTGCTCAGTACAAAGCTAGAGTAAAGGGTCACATTCAGTGCTGACCGCTGGTGGCTTACTGAAGAAAAATCTGTCATCTTCAACGCCAGTCCTATTTGAAAAAAGTTTACCAACTCTATGTTCACTATTCAAATGTGCACTTTTAGACAAAACAATTAATTCCATCCATTCCTGTTCCCGTAACACGGGAGATTCTATAAACTGCATCCTAAGGTTCTGCTGAGTCCTCGAGTCAAACACAAAGGCTCTACGGACAGTATATAGTGGGACATAAACTGAACAATTCAAACTTGAGGCAAGAATTATGACTTCCCCCCTTAAGTAACAATACTCAACAAATACAAACCTAATTTTCATATTTCGTTTTTTATTAGGTTTTTTTTTTTCTTCTGGTAGACAGTACACTTGGGAATTATACTGCACCAGGCTTAAGAAGTAAGAGTTCTACCACAGGGACATTTTGTATTCAGAATCCAATATAAATATTTCTAGTCAGACATTTCCATGGCTACAGATATTTGGTTGCTTGATTTATATGCATAGAAAGAAACAGTTGTCATAACTGTAAAAAGCAGTACTTAACAAGTACTTTTAAATGATTGGAACAGTTTTCCTTTAATATTACAATACTGCTTATTGGTTTGGAAATTAGGTCACCCTACATGATGTTTTGATTTTTCTCAAAGGCATCATGAGTACTCTATTTATTCTTTCATTCCTGCATTTTTAACCTTCTAGTTGAGTTAGGGACCATTTAATCAGAAATCATTGTAGCACTGTAATAAAAAAAGCTCTGTTAAGAGTAGATTATATACCATAATGATTTTCATACTTCTTTTTATAAAAAAGGTATCTGGAGGCTCCGAACAGGCACATGCATACTCAAGGTAAAAGGAACAAAACATACAGGAGTCTGCTAAAGCACAAAACTTCCTTCTGGTCCTCACTGCCTTCAAATAAATACAAATATTTAAAAAACAAAAACAAAACAAAAAAGAAAAACAAACAAAAAAAACCCACCCTGTGATTTAAAAAAAAAAAAAAAAAAAAGTCTCTTCCATGTCCTGGAAAGTCAGTCTCCAGGAACTCCTCCCGGGCTTTGAGATCAGTCATCAGTCTTCCGGGCCAGCCTACAGAAAGTCCAGTTGTGCTCCACTGTGTTCTCGTTGGCCCGCTCACTCATGTGATGCACTCGGGTGTTGCGGATCGTGAAACCTTGTTTTGTAATGTATTCCATCAGGTGGACCCTGAGAGAAACTTCCTGGTGATAATCACAGGGTCCGAAAGTGAAGGAAACCTGGCAATCTCTGGTGTCCATCATGTGCTTATTCCACTTCGTGAAATGGTTTGAGATACCTTCTAGTAAGGAATGGACCTTGGTGGTGATGGTTAACTGTGTTATGATGACAGCTACTGGATTAGAGTACTTAGAAAGCTTCCGAGTACTAGATAACTCCACAACTTCTTCAAAAGTATCCATAGGATACAGAGGCTTGGGGTCATTGAGACATTGAATCAAGGGCTCAATCTGATAAAAATCTGCTTCTTTCCGAAGCAGATCAAATTCCTTAAAATCCAGGGGTAAGGTCAACTCTGAAGTTCTTAAGAAGTTGAGGACATAACGGAAAAGAGGTCCATCTCGATCAATGAAGTAATTGCCTTGAGGGTCTCGAGCTGTGGGGAAGTCCCCCCCAAACATAGCTCCAAGCATGGAATCCGGGTAACGCGTCAATGTGGTGAGAGACGTTGTATACAAGTGTCCACCTACATTTAACGTGACTGGGTCAGTCATCTGAAATTTTTAAAAAACGATCAGTCATCTGAAATTTCTTAAATCCCAATTTTGACAAATTAAGAAAGTTAACAGTAACAAGCAGCAAGGCAAAAGATTCATTCAGACTATAATGTATTCAGCAATCCTATCATGCAAAATAGCTTTACTGTCAATGATAAACCTACGCAGATGAAGGGATCTAACATTTTCTTTCAATAGGAAAAGGATAAATCTAATTCATTAAAGCCTTACACTAAAAAAGAAGAGCATGACTTCCAAAGCCACTTAATTTCAGGCCTAGTATCTACAGAGAAGTTTTTAGGGCAGAGTACACTATGGGAAGAGAAAAGCCAAGCTATGTTATGCTCACATAAGTTTTTTCCTGATTACCTTCCTTTTTTTAAGTCAATTTAACACAAAATAGAATAAAAATGATCTGATAGTATAAAGATACCTACTTTCAATATTTCTTTCGTTTTTCCCACTCAGAAAAGGGGAACAAATAGTAAAAATTTATTTTAAAAATAAAAATTTGTGCAGACCTAATCTTTATAACTTCTCCATGGAAATAAAAGTGCCAAATACTAAATTAGAATACACAGTTAGTCAACACCATCTTATATACTCAAAGGCTAATAGCAGCTTTCAAATTTTATAATCCAATCATGTGTTCACTCTTATAATAATGCTGCAATTTGGCCTTTAATTTTGAAAAGCAAGCTCCTCTAAATAATACATACTTTACCTTTTAGATATTATATGTAAGGAAAAAAATAAAAATAAAGACAAAAAGACTTCAGGTACTAGACAAGTGGAATATTTCTTACCAAAGGAAAATAGGAAGACATTCACACTCAAAAAACGTCCAAGTGGGTGAAGTGGCAGCTTCTCAACCTTTCACTTCCCTAACACAAGAAAATATCCTCTGTACCATTACCTACTAGACCATTTTAATAGTCATGACTCTATGAAGGAAGAGTTTTAAGAGCAACATACTTTAAAGACCAAAAAAAATAGTATGCTCTTCAAGTAAGTCATTATAGAAACTTACTTATTTCATATTGACTTTGCTTACATAAAAACACCAAATTAGACCCCAAAAAATAAACTAAGAGGGGATGGGATGATGTATCAATTTATAATTTTCATTCTTACAAGATGTATTATACTGAAGAACACAGAAGAAGGGGGGAAAGACACATACAAATTATCTGCCAGCCTTCAAAATGCATCTGCAAAAGCATCTCACCATATAGCCCCAGTCTCCATTATCCATCTGCTCCAGCGCTGCGTCTTGGGGAGCCCAGGTTCCAGGGAAACTTGGGGAGAAGAAAAAGACATATAACAGAGCATGTAACTATGAAAAAAGAAGGATTTTCCCACCCGACAGAGCAGACAGCTACTCATCTTTGCTCAGTCAAAACGAGCTACAGGGCAAAGATCTGGAGAAGAAAGCATTCCTCTGCGACCGTCCACACATAACTAAGAGATTGACAATCTTTAGAGAAAAAAAATTATCCTATGCTTAAGGAAGGAAGAAGAGCCTAGTAAGTACAGCAGTCATTCAAATTCTATCTGCTCTGAAAATTCAATTTTTTCAATTTATACAGGAGAACATTACAATTAACTGTTTAACCCTAACCTCATACAAACCTACAATGATCCTTATCAAAAAGGTGGTTTAAGGAAAGGGAGAAAGAGAAAACTCTTTTTTATCCATTTCAGCCACAGAAGCTAAACATCTCAGTAAAAGCCTCAAAAGCCATAAACCTCCGCAACACCAGCATCAATTTCCAAGAGAAAGAGATCAGAATGGTGTTTCTTTTATAACATAAAAAACACTAATGATACTTTTAATAATGACATATTTCATTTTGTACAATAATCAAAACAAACAGAAAACAATTTAAATGCCAAATCATCAGAGCACAATTTGGGACAACCTGACCCAACCTGGTTGCAAGTCACTCAGCCGGCACTTAGGGAGAACCAGGCTGAAGACATTGATAAACACCCAGATACTAATGATGCCAGTTTGAATTTATTTTTATCTACAATTCAAAAGCACTTAAAACACTTTCCCAGCCACAGAATTGCTTTAGTCAGTCCCCTCTCACACATATCACTCTCCAAATCAACCGGCAAAGCAAACTGCAGAGCAAATTTCAAAAGCTCTGGCAAGAGACAGTAAGAAACATGAACTTACCGGTATTTATCCAGGAAAAGCACTGGCTTTTTTATATGGTCTTTGAACAGATTCACTTTTCCCACTTTTAGAGAAATCTGGCACACTATTCCCAGAACAGGCCCTGGCTACAGAAGATCACAAAGGCTCTTTCTCAAAAAGGTCACTCAGGCATGTAGAGAACATTTGCATAGCACAGCAGGGGCTGAAATCAGAGCCTGAAGCATCTATTTTTCCACCTTGCACATTCTTCAAAGAAAACGAGCTAAAATGTGGACCAGACAACGTGCAGTCAGGTTTAATTCTCCATACTCAGCAGCTGGATATAGATAGATCTCCACATGCTATAGGGTGAGAAATGGAACAAATGTTCTATTCAGGGGGGTTGTGACAACCCTGCATTCCTCTGACTTGCTTGGCAATATCTGAAGTAAACAGAACCAAGGAAACAGGTTTTATCAATTTACATTATGAGCATCTGATTCAGTTACTGATATGACAGACAGATAAATGACTGAGTGATTTAAAAGGCCAGTCATCCAGAAGTTCTGGTAATAGACTTATCTTTGGCATCTTCCCATCACTCAAAGTTTTCATTCCTGGCAGCCTCAAAAATTATTCAGTCAACCAACATTTATTATAGGTGAACTTGGTTGCGGGGGAGGGGGGGTGCGATGTGCAATGTAAAGACACAGAAATGGGAAAGATACAATCCTCATCCTCATGGAGCTTCCTACCTGTGAAGAAACGCAACATGCAACAACTGTACAGAAAAGTGCTACATAATGGATGGACTAGCAGAGGCCTTCAGGAAGAAAAAGCAAGAACATTTCTAAATGGGCCAACTTCAGGAAGAGCTCGCTCAGGAGGACTTTGCAGGTATATCTGGACAACCCAAGAGGAGAAGGGATTCCAAAATGAAGAAATAATTTAAATAAAAAGAGATGGGCCTTTTTCTCCCACAATATTCCTGTAACATAAGCCACGTATGAGGGCGCCTGGGTGGCTCAGTCGTTAAGCCTCTGCCTGCAGCTAGGGTCACAATCCCAGGGTCCTGGGATGGAGTCCCACATCGAGTATTCCATCAAGTCTCGAGTATTCCATCAAGTCTCGAGTATTCCATCAAGTCTCGCACTGGGCTCCCTGCTCAGCGGGAAGCCTGCTTTTCCCTCTCCCACTCCCCCTGCTTGTGGTCCCTCTCTAGCTGTCTCTCTCGCTGTCAAATAAATAAAATCTTAAAACAACAACAACAACAACAACAAAAAAACACTTGGATCTTCTGACTCCCAGTCTAGATCTTTCTATAAATCCCCTCTATGGGTAGAAACTGAAAGAACAGAATCCAAGAAATAAGAAACTGAAAGGATTAACTTTAGGACCCCCCCCCCAGCAGGTGGATTTTATTTACAAATTTAACAGTAACTCAGTCTAAGTGAGCAGTCACAATGGGTTTGTAAAAATTCCCCTGAGGCAAAATAGCAAGCACCTACTCACTAGTGTGACTGAAGGCTGGTGTCCTCTGCACTAAGTGAAGCAAAGAACTCTAATTCAGGAATATACGAATGATTAAATGAGAAATGGGAGACCAAAGACAACAGAAAAAAATCAGACAGCATCAATGTTACAGCTGTTAGGCAAGGTCTGTCCACTATTAATCCTTTTCCCCCTTTTTTACTGCTAAGCCAAAACAATATAACTTCTTAAACAATCATAAAAAGAAAATTAGATGATGCCTTTGAATCTGTTCCACGGCAAAAGCCCAGGTTCTGTTCTGATACAAAGATGTAATGAAACCTCAAGCGTAATAATTCAAGAAAGCAATTACGGGAATCTATATAAGCCCATGTTTCTTAAAATGCACCCAAAAGCCTCCCTACATTTGTGTGTAAGATACAGATACTCAAAATAAAATGAAATTACTATAAGTCACTTCCAATAACAATAACTAAACTGTCCAAAAAAATCAAATTGTTCACTAAGAGCTCTAAGGGGAAAAAAAAAAGTATTGATCAGTTTAAATGTTATCCCTACTCCTTACTTCTAGACATCCTCTGTGGAGATGCTTAATGCTTAGATACAGCAAGAAACAAATAAAAAAAAAAAAGCAGTTAGATTCCTGGTCATCCAACAGCTGGATAATCAGCTTCTAAATTGATGACTATTAGGAACATCTCAGAGATAATACAGATGAATGAAATAAAACATAATCCTAAAGAATTTCCGGGATAGTGTCAATCTCTTCTACAAATCATTTTTCAGAGCTGCTAACAATTAGAAAATGATTCGTTTGCTTTTCATCATCTCTCTCTTCTGGCACAGTCTCCAGTGGAGGGCTTAATGAGAAGTTAAATGACCACAAGACAGGCAGCAGAAGGATGATCTTGAAATGGGCATCAAATGGACCTGTTTTACTTAATGAAGACAAAGAAAAATCAAATATTCCGGAAAATTTGCCAGGAATAGAGATTATGAAGGTAACAATGAAAAAATATTTTCTTTAAAGTGACTCTCCTTATTAAAGATCCTTTTAAACGGCAGTGAATGCAACCAAGCACAATTATAAAGTTCAAAGAAAGGCTTCTGGCCCCTGAAAATCAGTCCTACCTGAAAATATCTGACCTTCAGTGCAAATAAAATTCTTGTGGAAACTACTGGCTGACCATTCCCAAAGAACATAAAGAGTACTGAAAATTCACCCACAGTTAAGCTTCAAAGGTTAATTATGACTAGTGTGTAAATTCTGACAGTGTAATTTTAGTGGATAATTAAGCCAAAGAAACACATACTAAAGAATTTATAAAAGCCTTAAAAGAAACTGCCAACAATTTTCTCAAGTAGCAAATCTGAAAAATGCACAACCCAACAAGTTAATAACCTAAAGAATAACCGAAGAACTCAGGGCCATTCTCATCATCATTGCAAAGCTGCAATCAAGCTTTTGGTTATTAAGTAGCTAATTCTACATAAATATTCTGGGTTTACCATTTCTGCTACAGATTAAAACAGAGTTTTCTTTCAGGCAAAAGTCCTACTCCTATATAACAGCCTATCCATCAGAATTCACACCACCAAACTCAGATAAATTAAAAAAAAAAAACAAAAAACCTCAAACTACTGCCTTCCCAAAGTTTCCAGGTAGCCCCTGTAAAATGTTTTTCTACTGAAATCTTTGTGTCTGGCACTCAGAAAAGAAGACTCGATAAATTCTACCTATACATATCTTCAAAATGACTTTTGGTATGGAATTCCTCAGTTCTTGAAACATGGGAGTTTGAAAATGAAAACTTTTTATAGTAACTAAAGGACACTAAAGGAATCTTTTGAGTTAACATTCACATATAGGCTGATACTAATATTCAGGCACACAAAGAGAACATGTTAGGGTATCCTTAACCATACCAATGCAGAAACAGATGGTTTTTCCTAAAATTAATTATTTTTTTCTCTCTCCAGTCTCCACGTAGTCTAGAGGAAAGGAGGTCTAAATTGAAAAAATGACCTTAATGCTTAAGAGCTGTCACAAATAGTCACAAAATTAGAAGATTCCTCTTACTCTCAGTTTCTACAAAATAAAATAGGATAATACCACCTTCCCCAAAATAATGATACCATTTAGGCATAGCACAAAGGCAACAACTGACCTACAGGGTAACAGATCAGGACTAGGGTTCCAAAGTCACATGCAGGTCAGTGCGGACGAAAGAGAACTGGTTACTGGTGAGGATCTGTATCCACCTTCTGCTCCTTTACTAATTATGAGACCCTGAGGAAATCTCTCTTTAAGCCCAGCTTCTTTGCAGAATATGAGAAAATAAGCAAGATCATGAATAGAAAACACTGGCAAGTATTAAACAAACGTGAAAATACTAATGGCAGTAGCATAAACAAAATTTCTGTGGTAAATTGAGAAACTTCAGAGTGTGAACACAAGTAATTTAGAACCCTGGCATGGAAACAAGACAAATATGGAAGAAAAAGCCTCTTAATTTGCTTCCAGTCTTCCCAGGTCCTCCTTTCTTCAGAACTCTACAAGGCAGAATTACAAGTAAAGGGGAGCAAGATGGCTTGTATAGAGACCACCAGACATCTGAGTTCTTGATCACAGAAGGAACTTCCCTAAAGCATGACTCAGGATTATCTCTAAGGTAAAGCCAAATCCAAATACGTGTGTTCTGTTTTAAACAGACTCTAAATATCAAAATTCGAGACACACTGAGGGATCTACAGAAGGATTCACCCTAGGATTCCTTTATGTAGGAATGCTTTGGGTAAAACAGGATTTATGAACATTTCAATCATACAAATCTTAGGAATGGCATCTGTGGCAGTCCTCACCACTCAGTCTTTAATATCTATAGCATTACATTAAATGAAAATTAGTATGGACCGATAGTTCTCACCCGAAGAGCAAGTTCCCTCCAACTACCATCCCTGCAGATAGGAAGATTTTCCTTTTCCCAGCCACACATTTGTTCATTTGAAAATATCAGTCTTGGGCTCAGGCCTGTGCTAAATGCTGTCCTCTAGCTTTCTTCCTATTCTGAGATCACACTTGGACATTTGTGAGGGGAAGGAAATAAATATGTCAAGAGGAAATGGTAAGAGATACCTGGGCTACCCCAAACATTCTTGGCCAAACCAGGTCACCCCGGGTCTGCCTGCCACTCAAACCTCTTCTATCACAAAGTCCTAAAATTGGATTTATCAACTTGTTCCAGAACAGCTATACTTGAACAGAAACATGATAACTTCAGCAGAATATCCAAAGAGGATCTGTTTCGTTTCTCCGGTCCCACCCTCAGACACAACCTCCACCACTGTCAGCCCAGCAGGTGCTCCAGGGGCTCCCCATTACCATGGTCATTTATCACCTCTGACCATCAACCATTAAAAACGCCAAGATACACAAATCCGTGCAGAAAGAACTCAGCTGCACTCAGAGTATCTTTGAGGGCAGGAAATGCCCTAAAGAGGTGCTCAGAAGCCCTGCCACAGCCTTTAAATTAGGGCAAACGGTGGCTAATAAGCGCCACCCCCAAGACAATCATTTTCGGGCAAAACTCGAGGTGTCCCCGTCCGGGCCGTGCTTCCCTGTTGCCTGTAGCCAAAGTGCCCCCCGCCCCCCAACCCGGCCCGGCGTGGGACACAAGATGCTCTGGGCCCGGGCAGGGGGCGCGCCCCGGTGTTGCGAGCTCGGGTTAGCCGAAGCCGCACGTCCCCGCGGGGCGGGCCCCGGAACCCGCCCCAGCCCGGCCGCTCCGCCGCGGGCAGCCCGCCGCGGGCTCGTGCCAGCCCCGAAGCGCGCCGCGCCGACTCCCCACGGTGCCCTCCGCGCGGCCCGCCACCGCCTGGATTCTCCTTAACCCGCTGCCCCGGCCGCTCCGCGCGGGCTTCTCCTTGTGCCTGGCCCTCCCGAGCCCCAGGCCACCAAGCCCTGGGCCCGCCCCCACTCACTGCGCGGTGGCGGCAGCGGCCCGGCCGGGAGACGCCGGCTGCCGGAGAGCAGAAGCGCGAGGACGAGCGAGCCTGCGCCCAGCGGCGGCGACGGCGGCGGTGGCAGAGCGGACGACTGAGCCCGCGCCCGGAGTTGCGGCTCCTGCCGCCCGGCGCGGGCGGCGCCTTCCCAGCAGAGCAGCGGCGCCACGAGTGCGGGCGCCCCCTAACGGCGGCTCGAGCGGGAGGCCAGAAGGCTAGGAGGCCGAAGGAGCTCAGCTGGGCGCAGCCTGGGCCGAGCGGTCAGGCCGGCTCCGCCGCAGTCCCGAAGGCCCGCCCCGAAGCCGAAGCCTCCGCCCCCGAAACGCGGAGCCCGCGTCCAGAAACCCGCCCCTTCGTCCCGCCCCCGACCGCAGTTTGGAATCAGCCCAGCCTCTGGCAGTTTTCCCTGCGTCCTCGCACTCGGGTGCTCACAGATGTTTCTCTGTTTCACGAACACGCATAGGGCCCCGACCATGTACAGCGGCCACCGAGACGGAAGGGGGTCCTAATGAAAGAAAAAAAGAGACAAGACCCAAGAAAATACCAAAATAATGACAAGTTGTGATTCTAGGTCTTGGGAAGTACAAGGTTGGAGGAAACGGAGTATAAGGGGAGGGGCCTCTGCCTCACACTCAGTGGTGGTCAAGAAGACCTAGACGCCCTGCCTGTGACCCTAGGGGGAAGCCACCCTGTGATAAGGTCACCCATCCGGCCTGGTGGGTATGGTAGGGAAGGGCAGCCAGCCCTGAAGGGTCGCCATGGGCAGCCAGGTGGGGTGAAGGGGAGAGCTGACTTCAGCAGAGAAAATGACCAGTGCAAAGGTCCTGAGGCCTAAAGAAGCTGGCCCTAGTTGAGCTGGTGCGGGTACACCGCTACAGAAGCCAAGGCTGCAGAGGCTAGGGAATTACCTAAAGTCTCAGAGCGAACTGGTCCGCAAGCATAGACTTTCCAAATTCCATTCTCTTCCCGCTAACCAGATCTCTGTCCTGGTTCAGGAGGGACCAGGTAAATGATGTTGGTTTTGTCCTTTCCCTGTCTACACCAGGGTAACCCCTGGCCTTAGAAACTCACCTGTTTTTCATGTCCGCATGTGCCTGATTGGCTCTGGGGTTTAACTTTTTTTCGCATGATCATCACAGCCAAATCTGATAATTTGGTTTTTCTCCAAAAACTCAAATCGATAGATTGAATGAATGGCATATGTTTCATCAACATGATTGAGTGCTGTATTATCATATTCAAAAAGACTAGATGAGGATACAGGGAAATGTGTATGAAAATAAGACATGGACAAAACGGTATATGTGGTATAGTTCTAATATTATGTTTAAAAAACAAAAATACACATAAACAAAAATTTTGAAGAAAATATGCCAAGTCATTGGTCATAGTTCTCTAGGATGGGGATGTTAGTGGTTTATTCTTAATGCATTTCTGAATTTTCTGTATTTTATAGAATGCATAGATATTGAATTTATAATCAGAAAATATGTTTTAATTTTTACAAAAGAAAAACACTACCAAAATTACCCAACACTCAGATCTTCAGGATTTGGTGCCACTGAAAATCCAATTTTAGTATATGTGCTGCAGAAGCGAGCACGCCACTGAAAATCCAGAAGTGCCCCCTGCTAGCTGGTATCCTTTAAAGAGTTACTTCCCTTTTCCTCAACTAAAAACAGAGGAATTAATTTTGTCAGTTGTTTTCTCAGAACTATTCCTATATATCTCTTGAAATGTTTACTATTATAAATTATATTTTCAAATATACATCTTATAATATATTGATGATTACTGAAATGTGGTTGGTTTTTATAAAATGTATCCAGCAAACTTGGACTCTTTTTTAGCTCTAATAAACTTAGAGCCTCTCTTGAATTCTCTGTTAAATAATCATAGAGTCTGGAAGCAATTACATTTGGTATCTCCCTGTTCAGCCTTTATTTCCTGTTCCTTGTTTTAAGGCATTGACTAAAATCTTCAGCACAATGCTGAATAGCAATGATGACACTGGGCATTTCCATCTTGTTCTTGACTGTTTCTAATACGTTACCTTTAAAAAGAGTGTTAGTCATAGATTTTTGATAGATACCTTTTATGAGGGTAAGGAAGCACTATTCTGCTTTATTAGGAATGGGTGCTGAATTTTATCAAGCGTGAGATTTTTTTCCCCCTTATCCAGTGGTGGATTTTATTATATTAAACTGTCCGTGCATTTGTGGAATTAACATACCTTTGATGATGTGTTATTTTTTTGAGATAGTGCTGGATTGCATTTGTCAATATTTTATTTAGGGTTTTTGCATCCATATCTACAATGAGATATGCCTGCTAATTTCCTTCCCTCTTCTCTCCTTGTCTGGTTTTGCTATCAAAGCTACATGAGCTCATAAAATCAATTAAGGATGGGTGTCTGTTCACTACACAGCTTATATAAGAGTGTGATTTTTCTGTAGTTTGGATTTTCTATAGGATTCTCCTGCAAACCATCTTGGTTTGGGAGTTGGGGGTGGAAAGTGTTTATACTGACACCCCAACCCACAATATTCAATCTGGCCTCAGTCTCTCCACCTAAATAGCTCTTGTGGGGCCACCAGGAATCTCCTTATTGCTGAATCCAAAAGAACCTCCTTAGCTCTCCCCAACTCAGCACCTCCCACCCCACAGGTAGGGATGCTGTTGACCACACCCTCCAGGAGTCAGCCTCTTCCCAGGCCCTGTTCTAGTTTCCCTCCTTCCTCTGCAGCTCCTCCTCTCAGACTCATGGCAATGCTCCTCCTCTTGCTTTACCTGCCCCTTTGCCCAGGTTTATGGCCAAGGCCATCCTCTTCTGTCTACCCATCTCTACGGACTGGCTGAGCCACCTCCACGGATTCCATTATTGTCTCTAAGCCAAAAGATTCCCAGATCCATACCGCCAGCCCAAAGTCTCTCTCCTGAGCCCAATCCACAGATATTACTTATTCTGTGGCCCCTACCCTGCACCAGGCACTGTGCTAAGTTTTTTGCCCTCTGGATCAGTTCTCTATTGCCACATAATAAATCAACCCCAAATTTAGGGGCTCAAAACATAAAGCATTTCTTATCTCACAGTTTCTATGGGTCAAGAATTGAGAAGCAGATTAGATGGAGAGCAGATCTTACAGTCTAGATGTCAGCTGGAGCTGTTGGCCGAAGGCTGGGCTGGGGCCAGAAGCCACTTCTGAGATCACTGGGGTAGTTTTTAGCAGGAAGCAGTAGCTCTTCTTCACCTGAGCCTCTCCCAACAACATGGCCGCTGGGGTGTCCCCCAGTGCCAGTGATCTAAGAAAGAAAACACAGAAGCCACTGTGTCTTCTTTTTTTTTTTTTTTTTAAGATTTTATTTATTTATTTGAGAGAGAGCAAGCACAAGAAGGGGGAGGGAGAAAGGGGGAGGGAGAGGCAGACTCTCCGCTGAGCAAGGAGCCTGACCTGGGACTTGATCCCAGGACCCTGAGATCATGACCTGAGCTGGAGGCAGACACTTAACTGACTGAGCCACCCAGGCACCCCAGAAGCCACAGTGTCTTTTATAACGTAGCCTTCAAAGTGGCACACATGTAGTCCCTTGGTCTCACAATGTGGGAGGGCGCCACACAAGCGAATCCCAGGAGGCCAGGATGACTGGAGTATCTTGGAGGTTGCCCACCACACCCTGACAACTCCGAGGACAGACTACCCATGTCATCCCAGGGTACAGATGAGAAAACTAAGGCAAGGTGAGGGAAAGTCATTGACCAAGGCCACACAGCCAAGTGTGAGAAGAAAGCTTTGAACACCAACTCTGCTGGGCGTACCCTGGTTCTCTCCTCCTGTACACCCTCCTCTGATGGCCCACCAGCAGCTTCTTCACCTTCTTCATGTGCAAACCTGAACCCAGTTAGTTTGCCACCCCCAAACCTCTCAAGTCCCCAGCTCAGCTCAGCAAGTGGTGCCACCGTCCTCCCATCTGTCCAAACCAGAAGCTTTGAGTCACGTCTGCTCCTCCCGCCCCCTCACTTCCCAGTGCCGGGTAACCCAGCCCTGCCAAGTCTTCCTCCTCAGCGCAGACTGGATCCATCTCTCCTCCTCTCTTCAGCTCCAAGCCACTGACTTGTCTGCCCTGGACATCTGCAGGAGCCCCCTCCCTCATCACCCTCATTCTCTCTGCTCCCACACTACCCATCCGTCCTCTTCTCTCCTTCGTGAGTCACCTTTAAGAACACAAAGTTGGTTGTGTCTCCCTGCCTGCTTTAAACTCCTTCAGTGGTTCTCATTGCTTTCAGGATCCAGCCCAGATTCCCTCCAATGTGATCTGGCCCCTGCTTACCTCTCCGGGCTCTTCCTCTGCCCCTCTTCTCCTCAGCGCCCTGGCCCCTTAGGCCACATTTCAGCATCCAGGACCTACTGTGAATTTTTTTACTTTAGGCCCTCTGTTATGCTATTCCCTTAGTCTAGAACATTCTTCCCGCAGCTCTCAGCACGCCTGTCTCCTCATCCTTCAACGTATTGTCATCTCCTGACCTCCCAGCCAAGCTGATGTCCCCCAGCTGTAACTTCCACAGTGCCTGTCCTCTCTCCCCACCTCACTGCCTCTCATCTGAACTGTGAGCTCCCTGAGAGCAGAAACTGTGTCCATCTGGCTCAGAAGAGCACCCTGTGAGCAAAGTGTGCCTGGCACTTAGTACCCACTCAGCAACTATGGGCCAGTGTGGTGCATTCTCTCCAATCCCTCCCTCCCCGCCCCTTGCACTCCATATTCCAGCCCCTAGATAATGTTCAGTTTCTCCAGTGAAGCACGGGATCCCTCACCTCCAAGTCTTGGCACATGCTGTTCCCTCTGCAGGAATGCTCTTCCCTCCTGTCCCTCTATTTACTCAGCTAACTCCTATCTATATCTTCATCAGGAAACTAGGGATGAAAATACACTATGCCCAGTTGAATCTGAATCTCAGATAAATAACAAATAATTGTTTTAGGAAAATTATGTCATTAATATTGCATTAAATACAAGGGTCCTTCCTGTATTTCATCTGACAACCTCCAGCAGGAACCAGCATGAGTTCCCTCCTCCTTTGGGAAAGTTCCCTGATCTCCACTGCTACCACCTTAGGTCCACGCACTCCCCAAAACCTGGGCCCCCAAACCACACCCCTGCCTGCCCCCACTGAGTATAAAGCTCACTCTGTTTTGAAACTGACCTAGAATGTGACCTCCTTTGACAGAGAAGACCTGTCTCAGTCTTCAAAGTGAATTTTCACCTGGGACTGACCCTGGCCACGGAAATGGTCAGTAAGGTTTACTGAGCAAGGGAATGAAAGAGCACAGAAGAGATGAAAGTAAACAAGATGGAAAAAGGAACCAGCAAATGAAACTCGGCCCAAAACACAGGATGAATCTCTGGGGTGCTGACTGCAGTCAGGAGCTCCTCCTCCCACTCCACCTCTACCCCCTGCCTTGTCTCTGTCAAGGGGGTGTCTACCCACCCTCACCCCCAGCTTCAGGAAGCCTTAGGATTGGTGGAGCAGAAATGCAAAAAGAAACAGTCTTTCCCTTCAGGGGTTTTTCCAAAACAGTCTCTTGAGCATTCAAATGGGAGGACCTATAGGGTACAGAAAAGGGGTGGGGGTAGGGGACTGTATGCCTCCGCCTTAAATTAGAAAGACACTGTGAGGAACCCCTCGGTGGGGAGATGCCCTGCAAAGTTGTGGGGTGCTGCTCCACTGCTCAGAGAACTACTGAACCTCCATTCAGCCCACACGTGGCATTCCAATGACCTTCCACACTGCTCCTAGGGATCCCAGAAGGTAAGGGACCCTAGAGCAACCAATTGCATTGCTGAGCTCTTTCCAACTACCCCTCCTGGAGAATTCTGAATAGCCAAGGAACTGGCCAGTAGAGAAGTCCATCCACCCACCTGTCTTGTTGGTGGGCTCCTTCTCTTCTGTGTGTGTCTCTCCCTTTCTTGCCCTCAGTCCGTTTTGGTCCTTGTACCACTGGTTTCACCTGCTGAGGTTCTCCTGGGGCAGCTGAAAGGCATTCCTTAGCCCTTTGCTCAGTGGCTGCCCCAGTTGAGAAATACATTTCTAAACCACCTCCCGACTCCACCCCTGGGGACCAGTCCCAGTCCCTCTGCACACATACCCCCCAGCCTCCAGGCCAGGCCTTTGACACAAGTGAGCCTTGCAGCCAGTACTTTTCAATGCTTCCCCCACTCCCAGCCATGGAGACGCTTTGGTAAGTTTGATGAGAGCATTTTTCCTTTTTATAAGGTTCCTAATTACCTATTATTTCTGATCTTCTCTTTAATCAGCTTCCAGAACTCTGCTGGGAGCTACAGACCCAGGGGGAGGAATCTTGTTCTCACCAGTGTTGAGAGAGAGGCCCTGTGGTTGTCCTTGGATGTCACCATCCTCTTCACCATTATGACACTGTAATTAGAGAGAATGGATCTGCCATTAGACCAGGAATCTGAAGCTCTGGCTTCTGTCTTTTTAGTCCCATGGGTGTCTCGGTGTGCCCCATCTGAGAATGTCAGGGGCCTTGAGAGTCCAAAGGGAATAAAGCTGCCTGACCATTGCTTGGGCAGCTGGCAAGAGAACCCCCGATTCTGAGTTCTCATACTCCCCGACAGCTTAGTGCTCTAAATGCCTGTCAATAACACATTTCAGGCCTTGGTTGTCTTCCCACCTCATTCCTAATCCAAACCACTTCCTCTGCATATGTTTGTTTATCCACTTGCAAAGCACAGCTCCTGCCTCTTCTGCTGGATCTCTCCAGGTCCTACCGCCTCTCCTTCCCACCCTAGCTAAGGTCCCTCTTTCCCTACATCTTCCTCTGATGCCCACCCCCCAACCCTCAACCTAGTGAGGGGGCATCCATGCACCCCCACCCACCCACCCGATGCATTGCTTTTGTCAAGGAGTTTTTGGGGTCTCTCTCTGAAATAGGGCTGTATTACCTTTAGAGAGCTCCTATGTTTTACACAAAGTGCAAAAAACAATAGTGGTAAAGCTGCCACAGAGTGGGATCTGTTAACATTCCAGGAGCTTCTGAAATAAAAGGTCTGATTAAATAGCAGGAATGCTATTTTAAACCTATTAAAATGTCCCTCGGGTTTCATGAGGAAGGTAGGGGTTCAAACACCTCAATGGCTAACAGTGGATCCATTGTTATCCCAGCAAAAATGTGAGCATCATGGAGAGAAGTAACTATAGTAACCGCGTGAAGAGCCATGATTCGGGCTTCGGAATTCTGTTACACATGTCACTTATCTCCTGTCACTGACGTCAGGTCCCGAGACCTAGCAAAGCACACTGGGTGGGACCCCAGCTTGCTTTCTGGCTGTCACTCAGCAGAGCTGGGGGGCTTGGACCCACTCAGGAGTCCCCCAGCCTCAGTTTCCTCAACTGTAAAGTGGTGTAAGACAACATCTTGGCAGGGTTGTGGGGACAATGAAATTAAAGGATGAAAAGCTCGGGTAACGCAGTGCCTAGCGTGAAGTCAGCACACAATAAATTGGTAGCTCCTATTATAATAACTAATTGCTATACTGCTGATTCGGAAAGATAAATATAGAACTGAAACTCTGGCGGGCAGCAGGACTGGGCTGTGAGAGGGACATTTTGAGACTGAGGATTTGACTGCTCCACCAAGGCCTCTTCAAACATCCATTTATTTCGGTTGCAAGTTGAATGTTGTCCACATTGATAATTGCTATGAATAATTAAGAAACAATAGCTTCCGCTGACATTCTTATAGCACTTGTGTGATTAGCTAAATGTCTTTTTATAACCCTTCCCGTCCTAAGACACATAAAACCCAAACCCCTCACATCATAAAACTAAGTTGGCAGAATGAGGTCATTACACAAAATAATAAACAGAAAAGTACTCTTTATTGGGAAGTTATGGTGTCCCTCCCCAAAATCTTGCTTGACTTTTTTTTCTTTTCTATCTTTTTTTAAGAAAATTTTGTTACTGAGGTATAATGTTCATATAGGAATGTACACAAAGCATAATTGAATGGCTTGATGAATTTTCACAAAGTGAACACACACTTGTGAGCAATATCAGATCAAGAAACAAAATTTCACCAGGACTCCAGAAGCCTCCCTCAGGCCCCCTCCTGCTTGGTCATTTCTTTTCTTTTTCTCCTCCTCCTCTTCCTTCTTTGAGATATAATTTACAAACCATAGGATGTATCTGTTTGAAATACACAGGTTGATGAATTTGACTAAATTCACACTGATGTACAACCATTACCACCATCCAGTCTTAGAATTCTTCCAGCATTCCCAAAACTTCCCTGATTCCTGTCCAAGGTCGGTCGCGACTTTGGTCCTGAGCCACAGGCAAACCACTGATCTGCTTCCTGTCTCTAGTTTTGTCTTTGTTAAATGTTCATTTAAGTAGAAGAACACAATAGTAAACATACCAGAGTAATTTTTTGCATTATGACTGGTTTTTCTAGTCCTAAAATATATTGATGTAAATACGCCAAGATTAGTGTTTCCCAAGTGTGCCCCATGAAGTAACGTTAGGTGACACATAGACAACTGTCTGATATCTTACTTGTGTATTTTTTTCTAAGATGTATGAAAATAACTAGTACATCAAGCCACTGGTGTCACGGACATTCTTCCTTAGATCTAGAATAGCTTTAAAAACTAATCAGAGGTGCCTGGATGGCTCAGTTGGTTCAGCATCCACCTTCAGCTTGGGTCATAATCTCAGGGTCCTGGGATCAAGTTTCGCATTAGGCTTCTTGCTCAGCAGGGAGGCTGCTTCTCCCTCTGCCTCTTCAGCCTGTCATTCCCCGTTTGTGCGCGTGCTCTCTCTCTCTCTGACAAATAAATAAAATCATTAAAAAAAATAAAAATAAAAATAAAAAATAATCAATTTAAGGAACCATATTAGTAATAACACAGACAGTAAATAGATAACATAGAAATTGTAAAGGTATATGCAAATGATTGAAGCCAGTAAAATAGAGACCTACATTAAGAAAGAAAAAATTGTTTCTATGAGCCCTGAAATCCTCTGCATGTTAACCAGTATATAGCTATTTAAAAATACTATTCAGAATTTTAAGACCATTCAAGTATTTTATCGACCATTCCAACATTTTTTTAAAGTAATCTCTATGTCTAACATGGGGCTTGAACTCACCACCCAGAGACCAAAAGTCACATACTCTCCCCACTGAGCCAGCCAGGAACAGCTATTCTGACACTTTTCATTGCATGCCTTCCATGTGCTAGATGCTAGATAAATGTTCATTTAGAGATTCTAGTCAAGCTGCTTTTTGTATTTACATCATAAATATTTTTAAAGGAATCTGATGATTTAAACCTAGTAACATACAGGAGGGTATGGCTATGTGCTTGCCCACAGGAGTTGCCCCAAAGGTTCTGGGCTGACAACCAGAATTCAGAAAAGGGAGAGAAGGCGTGTTTGGATGATGAGGGATTTGGCCACGTGAGGGAAGAATTTAGATAGGCAGAGAAGGTGGGAGGATGGTTCTAGCAAAAGCTGAAGCAGAGCAGAGGCTGAGAAACAGCTGGAAAACCTACATCCTTACTACCACCAGCCACTGAACCAACCCTCACACCTTTGGATACATTTTCTTACTATTTGTGCCAATTTGGGTCAGCATTTTCCTTGCAACTGAAAATATCCTATTGATACATTGTCATTAAGTTGCATTGTAAACATGAATTCTTAAATCCAACTAAAGGGTTGGGGCACCCTACTGGCTCAGTCAGTAGAGCATGCTAACTCTGGATCTCCAGGTCATGAGTTCAAGCCCCCTGTTGGGTACAGAGCTTACTTTGAAAATAACAATAAGTAAATCAAATAAAGGGATGACATCCTTAAAGAGTTTTCAGAAGGATCTTAAGTTTAAGTTTAAATGGATTAGAATGTTCTGCTGTGGCTGATTTAATTAACAAAGATAGGAACTAGAAGTTTTTTGTTTGTTTGTTTTATAGCTGATTCTTTTTTTAAATTTATTTTTTATTTTTATTTTTATTTTTTATAAACATATAAAATATTTTTATCACCAGCGGTGTTTGTTTGTTTTTTTAAAGATTTTATTTATTTGACGGTCAGAGATGACAAGTAGGCAGAGAGAGAGGAGGAAGCAGGCTCCCTGCTGAGCAGAGAGGGGATGATGATGTGGGGATAGATCCCAGGACCCTGGGACCATGATCTGAACTGAAGGCAGGGACTTTAACCCACTGAGCCACCCAGGCGCCCCAGGAACTAGAAGTTGAGTGCCTATAAGTATTATGTACACTTTCAATATCCCAGAGGTAGTTTTATTACTACTCTTTTTTAATGGGCATTTTGTGGAGACTCAGAGAAGTATGCAAACCAGCTCAGGTCACACAAATAGCAAGTGTCTGAGCCAGGATTTAAAAGCCAGGTCTGATTTAAAAGCCAGGTCTGACTTGCCAAAACCCTACAGGGCATCCCATGCTCAGTGAGTCTGGATGGGAACTAGGAAGTCAAAACAAAGGAAAAGTTGAAAGTCTCAGTAAGCAAACAAACAGAAATTTAAGCAGAACTAGATGGGGTTTCTTTCTCTCTCTCTCTCTCTCCTTTTTCTCTTTCTTTCTTTCTCTTTTTTTATTTTTATTTTTTAAATATTTTATTTATTTATTTGACAGAGATCACAAGTAGACAGAGAGGCAGGCAGAGAGAGAAGAGGAAGCAGGCTCCCCACAGAGCAGAGAGCCCGATGCAAGGCTCGATCCCAGGACCCTGGGACCACTACCCAAGCCGAAGGCAGAGGCTTTAACCCACTGAGCCACCCAGGTGCCCTTTTTTTTCTTTTTTTTAAAATAAACTCTACCTCCAGCATGGGGCTCGAACTCACAACCCCAAGATCAGGAGTAACATGTTCTACCAACTGAACCAGCCAGGTGCCTCTGAAAGGTTTTTTATATCTTTTAGATAAGACAGGGCTGCCAGCAACCTCTCACTTTTTCTGCCACATCTGAACCAGACACAAAAGTATTTGAAAATGCAAAATTGTTTATGAGATGTATAATTCAAACAAGTGTTATTGAGCTGGAGTAACTGCTAGGTGCTGTTTTATAGTCCTACTGAGAGAAGACCTGGAATATAGTACAAACTCTATGAAAAGAGTTTTCAAATGCCACACTGGACTTACAGGTCTGACATTTTTTCGAAGGCATCTAAGATGCACTACTTATAAATAAGGATTTGGACTCCAGTATCAGAAGACCCAGATTCAAATCCAGGTTTTTTTTTGTTGTTGTTGTTGTTGTTGTTTTTAAAGATTTTATTTATTTAGTTGACAGAGAGAGAGATCACGAGTAGGCAGGGAGGGAGGCAGAGAGAGAGGAGGAAGCAGGCTCTCCGCACAGCAGAGAGCCCGATGTGGGGCTCGATCCCTGGACCCTGGGATCATGACCTGAGCCGAAGGCAGAGGCTTTAACCCTCTGAGCCACCCAGGCGCCCCTGTTGTTGTTGTTTTTTAAAGATTTTATTTATTTATTTGACACAGAGAGAGAGACAGTGAAGAAGGGAACACAAGCAGGGTGAGTGGGAGAGGGAGAAGTAGGCTTTCTGCTGAACAGGAGTCTGACATGGAGCTCCATCCTAGGGACCCTGGGATCATGACCTGAGCGGAAGGCAGACACCTAACGACTGAACCACCCAGGCACCCCTCAAATACCAGTTTTCCTACTACTTGCCATGTAACCTTGAGCAAACTTCTTTTGTTTCTCGCTGAGCTTCAGTTTTCTCATCTTTAAAATGGAAATAATAATAGTACTTAGTTCAGGGGCACCTGGTGGCTCAGTGGGTTGAGTGTCTGCCTTTGGCTTAGGTCATGATCTCAAGGTCCTGGGATGGAGCACCCCTCCCACCCCCATGGAGCTCTCTGCTCAGCTTCTCTCTCTCTCTCTGCCCCTCTCCCTTCCTACTCATGTGCACTCTCCTCTTCCTAATAAATAAATTTTTAAAATAGTACATAGTTCAAAAGGCCAGTATGCTGAATAAATCAGATAATGCTGGGTTCAGAATTTACTCCACAGAGGTTAGAGAATATTACTTTTTGTCATTTTACTACTCCTCTTGAAAAAATAAATGCCTGTAATCTCTCCTGTATAAACACGGAGCTGGAGCAAAGGGAGAGCTAGCTACCCGCCTGGATTATGCAGGAGGGTGTTAATCCACACTGTTGGTTCTTCCTGTATCTTCCTTTCTCCCTTCCTCCTATTCAAGAAGGGAGCTGATTCCAGGAATACGGACTCAAGTCTGGAAACCTGCGGAAGGCGGGGCAGCCAGCCACAGCCTCAGAAGGATTCCTGGGGCCCAATAATGTCAAGAAGGGAGCAGAGGACCCTGGAGCCACAGGGGCCAGGTGGACGGGGCAACAGATCCCTTGACCTACCATGGGACTGAAGACCCAGAGCCAGAGTCATCCCAGTCCCTCACCTTAGCCTCCCTCAAACCCTCGGCACAGTGTGACACTTAGTATGTGTTGCAGAGGAACGGGGAGGAAATGCCCAGGGAAGACTGCAATCAGAGGTTTTATACCAGCTAAGAAAGGGGGAGGCCTGCACTGAGGGGAGTTCTAGGAAAGAAAGCCTTATTGCTTGTCCACCTGAGCTGTAGACTGAGAGTCACATGAGCTACAGCAAGAAGAATTCGGAGTTGCTTGTTCCTAGGACTTTGGGGTAGACACAAGGTCCACAGACTCCAGCAAAGAATAGAAAAGAATGCAAACCTGTAATCGCCACTACCAACCCATCATCTGTTGGCCGGCCTGATGGCAGCTGTCCAGAGGCCTGTGGTCTGGGTTTGAGCACAAACAAGGAAGCAAATGAGGGAGGGAAGGAACAAATAAACACACCTGGCAGAAAACTACCATTATTCACGGCCTTTCCCACCCAGTTCTTATCAAATCCCGAGATTTGGGTTTGCAGCTTGGGTTTAGCAATTAAAGCTGTTATGTTGCAACACCTTTCTGGTTTAAAGTGGTGCAGGCATAAGGCCTGTGAATTTGTGGATTTGATACCACAGTCTTCTGTGCAAACAGGTGACTCACTCTGCCCCTCCAAGGCAGGAGGGGGTGGGGGGGGGGCGGAGAAGCCAGCTCTGGTTTCACTATTAGCCCCCCAAGCCCCTCTGTGAATGTCAGTTCTTCCCCAGAAGCAAACTGAACCACCAAATCTCTTTAAATCAGTGCTGACAGCCCAACCTGAGTTTATGAAGCTGCAGGCCACAGAAGAGGCCCTCAGCTCCAGAGTTGCACTGTGTGGGGTGAGCGCCTCTGACTCAAATGAACCAGAGCCTAGCTTCCCCTGTTTTCATCACCTTAACATTTACATTCGGAGAGCCTGGGGAAATGGATCTTTGAGACAGAACATTAACCTTTGCTATAGCAAAGTCTTGGTTGTCTTTAAGCCTCTAACAAAAAATGGTACTCCTCATATCCATTCTAGCCTCGAGTCTACTGGAAAGGTCAGAACATGGGAGGAGCTCTGAGAGCAGGGAAATCTCAGGAAAGCTTAGAGCTTACAGGGACTGTAGTGACCATCTAAAGTCCACTCCGGCACCTTATGCATGAGCAATCTCAAGCTGGGGAGAGGGGCGCAGTTTACAGAACGTTTTGCAAAGTCACATTACTGGATGGTCAATGAACCATGACTGGA